CCGGCCTTGCAGGTCCACCGCCGGGCCCCTCATGGGGCTCGGCAGTGGGGCTGCAAGGCCGGCAGTGGCGGCCGGGACCGTTGGGGGCGGGGTGTGTGGGCTTATGACACATTTCCGGTGATGTCAGGGGGTGTGGCTTTATGACACTTCCGGTGATGACAGGGTGTGTGGCATATGCTAATGAGTTATGCTAATGAGTTCCCCTAGCTCTTTTTTACGTAATGACCCCTGATTGCAAATATGCTTGTGCTTTACCTTGAATAAAACTTTTTTGGTCTTAAAAGTGCCACTGGACTCAAACTATGTTCTGCTGTTTCAGACCAAAATAAATTATGTAAATTTCACCATATGGGTTAGATTCAGTGATCCATCAGTAGTTCCGTCCTGTTTTCCCCTCCTCTCAGCAGTCCCTTCTGTCCCAGGAAAGCTGAGTCCCAGGGACTCATGGATTAATAGCCACTTTGGATAAGTTGGGAAAGGGGATGAAATTACCATCCTGCTGCTTACATCAACACAATTGGTGCTTATGGGAGATGCGGGGATGTGATTTTTTGCCCTCTTTGCATGGCAGCACCCCGATCCAAGTTGCTATTAGTTCATGCAAGTGGGAACTGGCAAGGACTTGTGGGAGGCATTTCATTTCCCCCTCACCCACTATTTCTCCTTCCCGTTTCCTGAAAGCCCCCATAACCTCTCCCCTTTCCCTGTTTCTTTTTCCCTTTCCCACCCAACAGCCAACCTACATTTATTTGCCTCTTTGTCTTCAGGTTTTCCTCTCCCCCCCCCCCCCCGAAGCCTATATCTGGGGAAACTATGGCCCAGTTGTGTGGTGCTAGCCACTGGAGAAAGCTCACCTGTATGGTAGGGAAACATAGGACAGGCCATCAACATCCTCTGGATGAAAAAAGGCTGTTCCTTCAGCTACAAAGAAAAAGACAAATCCTTTAAGAGAGAGCCCCCCCCCCTGAAATTTTGGGCAGCGGGGTTAGGGGTCTAGAGAACCTCCCAAATGTGACTCAAGACAGCTGCAGGGGTGGGAAAGCTCGAGGCTTCGGTCTGTCTCCCCCCAGTAGTAGTACTAGAGAAGTCTTCCGCAGCTTGAAAAGTGGCCAACCAGCCCAGTGGGCCTCAGTGATCATCACTCATCATTGTTGGACACAGCAGCCCCATGGGGAGCGGGGAGTAGTGTGGATGACTTCAGAGGAGAGGTACCCAACCCCCAGGGCAGGAACAGGGACCAATCCAACTGGACAGACACCAATAGAAGAATGGGGCATTGGGAAAGTGGAAGTTATCCCTCATGGACCATAGCAAGTCCCCCCATTTGGCAGCAGGAAACTCAGGCAGTGGCAAACATGGCAGCAGGGTCATTTCACATTCCAGTGCTTGGTCTCTTAAATGTATGTAGTTTTTGAAATAATTTGAAGCAAAAATATAACTTGGTTTTTAATTTAAGATTTTTGTGCATATATATGTGTCTAGAAATTAGCCATGGACACCCATTCCTAAAATATAAGGAGCTGGTCTGTGGATTAAACTTAATTAACTTGTTAAACATATTTTTCTTTTCAGATGTTTTATTATCAAGATGTTAAATGCAGAGAAGAAATGTTTGATAAGGATATAATCCTGCTTCAGGTGACATCTTTTGAACTTCCTTACCCATATAGTAACATAGTTCTTGTGTATTTCTTCTATTATTTAATTCTGTTTCATGTGGGTGTATCTGTTAGGTTGGTGCAGCATATATGGATCCAAACAGTTTTCTGTTGTTGGTACTCCAACGGTATGAACTGCTCGATGCTTTTAAGAACATCATGCCAACTAAGGATCAGGTAACCAAACCTATGCTATTTTCACAGATTAATCATGCACAAACTTCATGATTATACTTGTTCTGCTGCAAAAACAGTATTTTGCTTAAATGTAAACACAGTGTTTTATTGAAGAATCAGCATACTAGGCTTTTTTCATCAGATTGTTATTAATCTTAAAGGTTTGGATGAGACAAAACAGCAAACCACAAGTTTCTGCATGAATGAGGCTTGAACTTGAGCCTTGCTTGCTCAGTTCTTCCTCCCCTCTCATACAGTAAGCTGATTAGTTCAATTTTCCCAGCAGAGTACTGTCTCTCTGTTCAGCTATAATAACAAACTGTGAGCAGCTGCAGATGCAGCTAATTACCTCATCATGTACAACAGGAGAAGAGATCAAGTAAGCCTGCAGCTCCTTCAGGGTTGTTCATGAAGCCATAGATTGTGCTTTGGCATTATGTTATTTATTACTTATATTATTTACAGTCTTCCTTTCTCACTGAGACTCAAGTCGGATTATGCAGTGTACATCAATGAAATTAATAGGATGAAACAACCAGTAAGCAAGGTAATAGGATTAGGATTGCATAAATTAAAACCAAATAAAAAGCTGGTCTATTAAATGAGCCCATTAAAAATGAGCCTATTTTGGGGGTAGGGTGGGATTATAAATTTAATAAATAAATTAATGATGCAGAAATTACGTAATAGTATCTAATAAGCCAATGACTTTCTAGATCAGTGTTTCTCAAACAGGAATCCAGTAACTCCTGAAGGTCTGCAATTATACACGAGGGGGTTCACAGCCATCTAGCTAACCTGAAAATGAAACCCTCTCCATTTTCTCAGAATGGAAGTGGGCACTGTACACCTTGGAGGGAGGTATACAGAATTAGATTTCCCCTTTTTTTGAAGGACAGGAGCTTATACAGTTGCTGTCACTGAAAGCTTCCAGAGCACCATCCAGGGAAAAGTGCTAAGTAGTTGCTGGTATTCAATAATTCAGCCCTATGAACTCTGAGTAGTACCAAGGAGGTACGGTTCCAATGTAATCCTCAGTTACTTCTGGCATTAAATTGAATTGGTTTTCAATCTGTTTTCCAGTTCAGAAGATTTCAGTATAGGGAGACAAACACCATTCCCAATAACTGTTTTCAGCTGAGTGATGTTCATCTTTTTTGGGGTTTTCCCCCTTCCCTATTTCTATGAGCAGGTCTGAATTTTCTTCTAGGCCCCTTCCTGCCCCTGTTGAGTTGGCATTCTCTAGTCATAATTAACCAGTAAAGAAGTTTCTTGCTATGCAAATTCTCTCTAATCAATGGGTGAAATTGATAAGAATTTGAATGACTCTTGAGTTATGGCCCGTAATGGCCAGAACTAGGCTTGTCCCCATTTTCCATATCTGCCAATCCCTTTTGTACCTGTTGTACAATCCCTTTTGTACCTGTTGTACCTGCTAGTTTGGAAAGAAAGCCAGCAGGGACCAATCAGGACACTTAGAGGGAAAAGGAAAGGGGAGGAACAGAAAGGAAAAATGCTATATAACTGGTGCTTTAGTCCTAGAGGATTGCAGAGGTGTTGAACTCATTTGTTATGAGGGCCAGATCTGGCATAAATGTCACTTTGTCGGGCCGGGCCATGTGTGCCATAAAATGTAACACAAGGTACTGATGATATCAACTTTATTAAGATGATTTTAGATGTTGAATGGCAATAGCAGGGGTGATTGGATTAGGTGTGATATGCAGATGGGTAGTAGGCATGGTAATGAGACAGGAAACCTAGGTCTTAATTTGGTACAGGAGGATTCAGGGAGTTTAGAAAGAGAGACTACTGAACTGCAACTGATAATGAAGCTCAAGACAATGCATTCTCCTAGACTGAATTGAGATCTAGGTTTCTTCTCTTATTACCAATGCCTGCTATTGTCATTTGTCATCTGAAATCACTTCACTCTCCAAAATATAAGGACAGATGGACTCGGATTCTAGCTGTGTCTGAAGAAATGAGCAGTGATTCACAAAAGCTCCTACCCTGCCACAAATGTTGTAAGTTGTTAAGGAGCTACTGGACTCTTGCTCCCTTTCACTAATAAAGAATGCAAGCTGTGCTGTTAGATTTTTTCCACCCCCATCTGTTAGAACTGGAAAGAGGGATCTTTTCAAGTGCCATGGGACTCCATCTCTCTCTTTCTCTCTCTCCCTCCCCCCTCCCCAGGGGAGGGGGAGAAGCCCTCAGCCAGTCAAGAGAAGGGAGGCTTGGCTTTCTTTCTCTCTGCAAAGCAGGAAATAGGAGAAACTCAACAAAAGGAGCTGCGATGCAGGAAGCAGCAAATTGCCAATTGCTCACAGGCCAGATAGCAACCCTGCAGGGGCTGGATCTGGCCTGTGGGCTGTATGTTTTGACACCCCTGGTTTAGAGGTTCCTTAGGCAGTTTAGGTATCTTGTGCCTCGAGTTGCTTCAGGTAGAAGTGGGCTCTTCAGAGTGGTGATCTAGTGTCACATACACTGGTTGATGGTTCTCATATACAGTCTTTCTGTTATTTGGAAGGTGCAGGGAAGGCTCTCATATAATTTTTAAAAGGTAGGAAATCTGTAGAAAAAGTAGCATCTTTTGAAGTCCAAAGTAGTCTGGCAGTTACTGGTGTTTTCTCTGCTCTAACGCAATATAGTATGTAAAAAAACTATCTCCATAGCTTTGTCTCTCAGTAAATTACATTTGTATAAAGCTGATCCTGAACATGTCCAGTTTACTTTCCCCCTCACTGTAAAATAAACCTTTCCCTTCTTGTGTTTAATCTAAATTCTTTTCCTTGGTATTAAGGATAGGAAAGTTTCTGTGCTTCAGCAAAGTATGGGACAGAGTACCTCAGGGATGGCTAGCAGCAGGTCAATAACTGTTTCTTTGGCCTCTTTCATAGGTTTTTTTGATGGTGTGACAGGGAAGTCTGATGTGGTCAGTATTTCCCAGTTAACCCACAAATCAATACATGCTGCCATTGTGAGGACACTGGCACTAGACTGAAGGGGGGGATCCTGATAAAAATATTTATTCCCCTCTGCTGTTACCCTAGCTCATCATGTGACCCTACAGAACCAGCTTCCTTCTGAAACCTTAACTTGTAGGCCATGTTCAGATAACAAACATTTTTCTTGTTTCTAAAATATATATGCTAAAATTACATGATTCTAAAATGTGTATGATAAAGATGAATTCTGGTGTGTGCAACCATGGGAGAGGGGGGATGGCTTGGGGCTCTGCAAAAATCCTTTTAGTCAAAGTGGGGATACTTGGGTTGCTGCAGGTTGAATTCTTCTGTTTCAGCCTATGTTGTCTGCAAATGTACTGTATAGCTCAAACACCATAACACTGTAATGACTAAGACTTTTTGCATATGATTCTTGTATACATCAAAAATAGGACCTCTACAGTAGCTGGCAGACCTAATTTTGCGATGCAAGTTCAATCTTGTTTTTTACATTTTCGTTCATAACGTAATCAGGCTTGCATCAGTTAACCTTAATCTTGCATTTTTCACATTACTATATTCTCCCAAGAATTGGATTGGTTTCTTCTGAGTAGTTGTTCTTTAAATCTACAGGACTTGAATAAGCAGTGTAACACACTCATAGAAGAAATGCTTCAAGTTCTTATCTACGTTGTAGGTAAGAAACATTTGCCTACAGGAAAGATGAGGTCTAAGCCTTTTTTCCTTCCGGGTGGTCTATCCTTCTGTTCAGAAAATCTGATCAAAAGTAGCTTCTGTCATTCACTCTTTGCTTGCTTGTTTCCTGTAATTCTTGTTGCATGACTGCGGTGGTTTAACAGGCATTCCCCCTCCTTTACAAAATCCTGCACCTCTGATTGAGAGCTGAGGGTGACTTTTGCCATTCATTTTACAAATATCAAGTATAACTGAATACTTAATATCTAAAACAAATGTACTCTGTTTATTAGATGGGCATATTTCTTAACTACTTCATGGTTTCTGTGCATCACACTGATGAGCTTTGTGCCTGTGCAAAGCAATAATTTCAGAAATGTCTAGAGCTATAACCATAGGCATGAGCTTTAACCACGTGTGCTGGAGAGGGTAGAGTTGCACAGCTGGTTAGTTCCTTTTTGTTCATCACAGCAGTAACAACATGAGGAAACTTCTCTGAGATTTTACCTCATTTTTTTCTTGTTTTTCTCTTCCCAGGAGTAAATTTCTTTGTCATACACATGGGAGCCTTCCAAGAATCAGGGAGCTCTCCTCAAGGATTCTTAGGCCTTTTGGCTGATCTGTACTGATCACCTATGGTGAAGGTCACGTCATTCAAAACATCCTTTGAAAGAAATAGAAGTGTTTCTCCACCTTTATTTCACAGCATGGATTAGACACATCCATGTGCTTGCTGCCCTTCATCCTAGAGTGCCTGTTCCAGCTTTGGTGTCTGGGTCTGGCATGCTTTTCTCTCAGATCTCACCTGGCTGTCATCTCTGCTTCATGGCCTCTAATTCAAGTCTATTGTCTCAGCCAATGGAGAAACAATTTTTCCAGGGCCTTGTTCAGCTGTATCCAGTGTAGCCTTCCATACCTTCATGGGTCCTCACCCAACTCATGAGCAAGCTTTTTGAACCCATGGCATTCTGTACTCTTGTCTTCTGTCTCTTTCAGGGCTGCCTTTCTCAGCACTATCTACTCTCCCTTGAAAAGCATTGGAACTGTCTACCCTTAGGGCAGGCACATCCTTTCTGTGCTTTTACAGAGATAGATGGTTCTCAACTGTGATAACACCTTCTTGTCTTGGATGATGTCAGAATTCCATCCAGATCAGGACATAGCCCTGCCCACCGCTGATAGGTCGTTCCATTCCCTGGATGTCTGGTGAGGGCTGGCCTTCTACATAGATCACACTTCTTCCTACTGGAAGCAAACTAGACTTTTCGTGTTTTACCCTGTTAGAGGATTGCCTGAGTCATCTCAATGAATTAGCCACTGGATAAGCCTACCTAGATTAAAATCTACTACCATTTAGCACATAAAACTCCGCTTGCTACAGTCAAGGTGCATTTAACTAGGGCAATGGCTGCTTCCTCTGCATTTGTAAAGTTTTAAGAGGATAGCCTGAGTCATCTCAATGAATTAGCCACTGGATAAGCCTACCTAGATTAAAATCTACTACCATTTAGCACATAAAACTCCGCTTGCTACAGTCAAGGTGCATTTAACTAGGGCAATGGCTGCTTCCTCTGCATTTGTAAAGTTTATCTCTGTGCCTCAACTTTCACTGTGGTGCTGCCTGGATGTTGCCATCCACTTTTCTTAAGCACTAAGCCCTTAACACTAGGGCATGGGTGGATGCTTATTTTGGCTGAACTGTAGTGCAGTTTCTCTTCTGTCGATGGTGCCTGCACCCACCTCTAACTTGGTCAGCTTACTAGTTTTCATCAGTGTGATGCACAGAGGCACCAAAGAAGTAAAACCAGGCTGCTTAAATTTAACTGTTGTGGTCATATGTGCATTCACACAACCCAGCCTCTTTTCCGGCAACAGGCATTTTAAGATGCTGCTTTTAAGTTAGAAAGAACTGAGTGGTATAGGTATGACTGTCCCATCAAGCATTCATCATCTGAGTCTGTTCCTCTGGGGAAGGGGATTTTCTCACTTAAGTTTTATTTAGAGTTGTAGCTCTAGAAATTCCTGAAACTCTTGCTTTGCATGGGTGCAAAGTCCATCAGTGTCAATGCGCAGATACCCCCTTGATGAACAACAGCTGCAGGTAAACAATCTTTTTTTACAAGGCTTACTTCCATTAATACTTAATATTATCCAGTGTTACCACTATCACAAACGATCATAAGCTGGTTCCTGAGGCCCTTCTCAGATTACTTTGCAGTTGTGTATCCAGTGTTACCACTATCATAAACGATCATAAGCTGGTTCCTGAGGCCCATATAAAAGCCCCTTTCCTTGATAGTCATGTGGTCTACCATAATTCATTCTTGCAGTCACACCACTTTTGTTTCTCTAGTGTCCCTTATGTTGGTCCTATGATAGACTTGGAGTGGGTGGCTGTTTCTCTCCCAAAAAGAGCCTAGTTGAACTGATAGCTCAGGGATCTCATTGGATAGAATATTTGTCTGTTCCATGGATAAAGTTGTACTTCCAGAGACTGTTGATTGACAAGATTTCTATATAGCACTGCTTCTGGAAACTGTGTGGGAAATGGCTTCTGACGGTGGCTGATACTGGCATTAATGGTATATGAGGAATAAAAATGAAATATCAGTGGAAAATATACATCAGCTCTGTATGAAAGTCAAAATGCACATTTACTGATTGGCTTGCTATAAAACTGAGAGCACTGTATCTCATATTCCTTAAATAATACATTTTTATATTGATCCAATGCTAAAGTTCTCAAATTTAGCCTCAACAGATGAAGGCAGGTGGCTGAACTCTCAGGCCTTGATTTCTTGCTGTAATAAGGCCAAAATCAACAGGGAAGGGAAGGAAGGTTAATTGTAGGACCACTGTATAAAGGACACGGGGGGGGGGGATGGCAAAAATTAGTGGATCTGTTTATAACCAATCAGAAGGGGTATATATAGGTCACAAACCTTCTGCCATTGCACTTATTTAATTGGGGAGGTTGGGATGGTGCTGTTACCTGTTCAGAGTCCTGCAATGTTCAGAGACTTATTTGTGCCCCATTTCCTAGCATTTGGTGTTGCCTTTGGAGAACCATTGATCTATTGAACTGTTGGTGGTATTGTGTGAAAGGTACACTGCATTTTGAGTTCACTGCTTTTCCTCATTGCTTTCCCTGTCAGGAGAAAGATATGTACCAGGTGTCAGTCATGTGACAAAAAATGATGTTACTATGAGAGAAATTATCCATTTGCTCTGTATTGAACCAATGGCTCACAGTGCTCTTGCAAAATCTTTACCCAAAGATGTGAGTAGTTTCTTTTTTATCTTTTTCCTCCCTCCCTCCCTTCCAGAAATTTTAAAATACTTGCCCCTATCCAGAGGTTCCTTGAGGCACAGGAGCTCTCAAACATAAGTACATACTCTTCCCCATTTTCTGAGCATTGAGACTGAATATAAATGCATAATAGGCAAATTGACCTGAATGTGGAAACCATTCACACAGGGGACTCTGTAACTTGGAGAAGCCATATTGCTTTAGGTAACCTTGCACAGCATTGATATATGTTAGCTCTCTAGAAAGACGTATGCTAACATCCGTCAAATGTCCCCCCAGTAACTGAGTAATTGCATGTTTGCATTTGACATCCGTCAAATGTCCCACCAATAACTGAGTAATTGCATGTTTGCATTAAGCTATTCTGTGTACAATGCCATAAGAGAATAGAGTAGTAGAAAACAAATACAACTATTAGAAGTACTATACTTATTCAGAATACAGCTTTGCAGTTAGACTAATAGCTAGTTCATGTAAATCAAATCTTAGAATCTCAGGGTATTTAATATTATGAGATTTTAAATATGTGGGGCCTTATTTAATATTACGGGATCTGAAATATGTGGTGCTGACGCTCAAGTGACATTTAGGACTATTCAATTAAACGCTGTGTACTTACTGTTGGGTATAAATACAGATAAAGTTTTCCTCTTTAGCATATGCTGCAACTAAATTGCAGCAGCATTCTTAAAGATATCACAGCGCAAATACAAGATTGTTTCCTTCATTTATTTATTTATTTGATTTTTATCCCGCCCTCTCTGCTAAAGCAGGCTCAGGGTGACTTACAATAGAGGTTATAAATAAAATAACAATACAAATATCAGTATAAAATACACAGCATAGTTCTTAAAACAATTAACCTAACGATGGCATACAGCTATGGTAAAGTGCATATGTAAACATCCTACAGCAGTACAATCCACTATCGGCAGGCTCAGGCTGGAAATAGTGTTGGCACAGGGTATAGATGTTGAAATGCAGCTGCTTATCTAAATGCCTGGCGGAAGAGCTCCGTTTTCGCGGCCCTGCAGAACTGTGACAGGTCCCGCAGGGTCCTAATTTCTTCCGGAAGCTCATTCCACCAAGTTGGAGCTGCCACAGAAAAAGCCCTGGTCCTCGTCGATACCAGCCTGGCATCCTTCCTTTAACTGTTTGAATTGTTGCTGCATTATTTATATAACTGACAATAGTTAAAATATTTGTAGAATTAGGTAGACTTGACTTACTATTTTTCAGATGACCATATTTTCTTCTTAGTGCATTAGCATGTGAAATGTTTTTAACAGGAAAACAATGAGACTGGTATGGAGAGTGTCATACACGAAGTGGCCTTGTTCAAGTAAGCATTTACTCCTTTTCTTTCAGAAGTGAACAGATAGTGATGTGATCTCTTTGTCATGCTGCAACAAGTTTAATATGAGAAACAGAAGCTGGGGAACCACACAAACTCATGGGCAGGATAACAATTTGGAAATCCTCTGCCCATCTATGTCAAGATTCTGTATGCTCACAGAGAGCAGCAGGTCAATTTCTTCATCTCCTCCTATTCTTTGGTTCTCAGTTACTCTTAGTATTCAATGTCTGCTAAAGCATAGAACAAAGTCTGAGTCCAGTGGCACTTTTAAGACCAACAAAGTTTTACTCATATTCCATTCTCATCAGTCTGAAGTCATATTTTTAATATACTCTGAAAGTACAGAGTCCTTTGTTGGTGCTGGTTTCATAATTCACACAGTGGCCAGACAGTTTACTGTTAGATGTAGTAATCTGCTTTCAAAAATTCAGAGAAAAGCCAGCTTTCAGACTTGTGCACAGGCCTGAACAGACAGGTGGTGGGGACTGTCTGTTTCTTGGACACCAGAATACTAACTGTGTTTTAGGCAGTGGTTCTTAAGGACCCTTCTCAAGGTAGCAGAATATTTTTCCTATTTCAGTCTTTGTTTGGTTGCTATGGATCCTCTGTGTCAAAGCAGTTGCCAAACCTTTCCAGCAGCTTCAGCCTTCAGCCTGTAGTTGGCAGTGTGAGAACCATTAAGCTGCAAACATGTAACATCAGTCATGTAACTGGAAAAGTGGGAGCAAGTTATGGCCTTGCTGATGTCAAGGCCAGGGAAATGGAGAGCAGACTAAGACAGACAGGGCACGAAGCACAAGCTGAGCACCAAGAAGTGCATTATAGTGAGGAACAAGCTGAGAGTTTGAACCATTGAGGAATTCTCTCTATTGCTGAGCTATCTGGCCTTAACCTCTTGCTGTTATTTCAGCTTGCATCCACAGAGGCAGGAGTTACAATGTCCTTGCTTTCTATACATGCACACTAGCAGCAGATTCTTCCAGGAAAAAAGAACAGCAAAAATGCAGCTTTAGAAGGGCTTACAGACCAGCAGAGGAGGCTTCATGACCCACCTGAAGATTCCAGATCATGAGCAGAAGTACTACTGTCTTGTAGGACTCTGTGACAAGTTCTAGAGCACATACTTAGTTCACTTGGTTGGGCATCATACTTCTGCCTAATGCTTCCAGCACCTGCAAGCTACAAAATAAATTCAGTAATGATGGGCAAGCTGTCTTTCAAAAAAAAATGTCCATCCTGGTTGATCTTATGACTGAGGAACTCCTGATAAGCTTCTAAGGAATAATAGGGGTTCCTGGGAAATAGCTGGGCATCTTCTGTCTTAATTTCTATTATATAATCAAATAAATATGATCAGAAATAGCATAGTTTCCAGCTTTCCACGTTCTTATTTGTTGGATATTTATGATTTTCTCTTGTTCAGAGTGGATTAATGGAGAAGGTGGTTTCATAATTATGCAGGCATTGCTGTATGGTGCTTTGTAGGTAATAACCAACACTTGGGAATAGAAGCCAGTGCATATGAAACAAGATATAATATACATGTATCTAGTAGCCACAGGTCCTCCCACTACAGTGTCACCCAGGGCTAGGGTACAGGCTTACTCCTGGTGGATCAAAAATCCTTAGAGTGCTAATTGGAATCTTTATGCATCTGGTAGTATTGTCAGAATATGACCCCCTATATCCATATGCACCAAAAATCTCATTTTTGTTCTAAGACCTAAAATAGTTTCATTTGTTTGCATTATTGTGACTAATCATTAATTTTATTAATCTAAGTCAATCTTTTTAATAAAGAAAGCCAGGTGTATCGTGCCATGGAGTTTATGAACTGAAGGATGAGCGCCTCAAGGAATTTAATATGTTCTTTTACCATTACACCAAGACTCAGCACAGCAAGGTAAGAAACTATTACTTTTATCATCAAACACAGATAGGATGTGCATTTATGTTGCAGCCAACTGTGAAAGATGGAAAAGGGACAAGGGATGGAGAAGGAATGCTTAATTAAAATCAGTATGAATTTACAAAGATCAGACCTGTTCTTACCATTCTGGAAACACAGTAAAATTAACCTCAGAGGCTTATTTTCTGTAGGGGATGAGAAATAGAACTAGACTGTTGTAGTCTGTAAATCCAGACAAGAGACATTTGCAAATGGAAATTGTGTCCAGGCAGCTAAAAAGCAGCTCTTGGAATTTAATTAAACCTGTAAAGTTTAGGTCCTTCCTTATTATCCATTACCTCAAGGGATTAATTCCAATATAAAGAACCTGGGTTATATCCATCATGTTTGCTTAAGGCCAAACTAAATGTTACACTTTTTAATGAGCTGGGCCTGTGTTTCCCAAACCCAACTCACATTCCCTGCAGCTGTAATTCAGTTGTGGGGAAGTAATCCCTCAAGAACTACAGTGTCCCAATTCAGACTAGCATGGTAGGACAGGGTTAGGAGGGACATGAGCCTCTCCTCCATTCCATTTTCCTCAGCTGAAATAGCCAGGGGGAGACTCAAATTCATCTGACTCCTGTGCCATGGTCCCAGTCTGAATCAGGATCCTGCAGCTCTTGGGCAATTAGTTCTCTGCAGCTGCCATCTGGTTTTATTTGCCCTGTTGTGGCATTTGCATACTTGAAAACACTAGCTTCCATTCTGGAAGTGTAAAACTACATTTTGGCAACCTGCACATCACCCAAGCTTCAGATTATCAGTCACTAAGCCAACACCTAGAAGGAAACCATATCATTGTATGTTATGTGCTGTCAAGTCATTTCCAACTTATGGTAACTCTATGAATTAATAACCTCCAAAAGATCCTATCAGGTCTTTCAAACTAAAGGCCATTGCTCTCATGTTGGGTCTTCCTCATTTCCTGCTGCTACCTTCAACTTTTGCTAGCATTATCTTTTCCAGTAAGTATCGCCTTCTCACAATATGATCCAAGTATGATAGCCTCAGTTTAGTAATTTTTCACTTCTAGGGAGAATTCAGGCTTAATTTGATCTAGAACCCACTTATTTGTGTTTTTGGCAGGACACGGTATCTGTAAAACTCTTCTCCAATACCATACTTCAAATATGTCAGTTTTCCTCCCATCAACTTTTTTCAATGTCCAACTTTTGTATCCACAACTAGTAATCGGAAATACTATACTATGAATTAGCTTGATCTTGGTGTCCAGCAACATTGCTTATACTTAAGGATCTTTTCTGGTTCCTTCATGTCTGCCCTTCCCAGTCTCAATCTCCTTCTGATTTCTTGGTTGCAATCTCTCTTTTGGTTGATGATTGAGCCAAGGTATAGGAAATGTTGAACAATTGTAATTTCTTCACCATCAGCCTTAAAGTTGTCTGATTCCTTAAGAGTCATTACTTCTGCATTCTTGCTGTTCGTCTGTAATCCTGCTTTGGTACTTTCTGCTTTAGCCTTCATCAGTAGTCCTTTTACATTCACTGTTTTCTGCCAGTAATGTGATGTCATCTGCATATCTCAAATTGTTAATTTTGCTTCCACCAGTTTTCATTCTACCATCATTTAAATCTAATCCAGCTTTCCTTATGATATGTTCTGCATATCTAAGGAATTGTCAAAGCAGAGTTTGTTATCTTAGCATTCCCAGTTGAAATGTTAATACATCAGTTTCTGTTCATTGGTAGATGCTAAGAGGGGAGAGAAGCAATGCACTGGGAGATACATCAGTTTCTGTTCATTCTGTTCAAGAGGGGAGAGAAGCAATGCACTGGGAGTTTCTCTGTTACGCTATTTGATAGTTAAGCCTGCCTGATATACTTCTGAATGTACTAAATATCTTTCATGCATTTAGTCAAGAGATCCTTTATTTTATTGCTACTCCTGGGAATAAATTAGTTGACTCTCTTTTAACAGGCTGAACATATGCAAAAGAAAAGAAGAGTGCAGGAAAACAGAGATGAAGGTAACAGGTTGAAATTTGGCTGATTTACACGAAGTACAATACTGATAAAACAAGAATTTTGGCTCAGTTGATAACCATTAATGATCAAAGACAATGAAAATGTTGTTTACTGCTGAGCCACATATTTGCAAACAAAATGACTTAAAACATCTGGAGATCTGAGCTCCCTATATGGTAAATTTTGTATGCTACCATGTAAAAGAACAGTGTTGTCACTTCATTTGTGTACAAACACCAATGTACCATACTAGCAAGGAATGTGTACTGCTTCCTCCACCAGTGTCCAGTGACCTATGGCACTTTTTATACTTCTGGAGATATGGAAACTGTCACAAACATAAGTTAAAGTCATTGAGCTCTGCTTCACTGGCTTAGGATCATGTTGCAGTCACTGCTTGGCCCTGTCTAGTTTTACTTCACCAAGACTGTTGCATACAAAACTGTTTGATTATAGAGGTTGATGTCTTGTTGAAGGAGGTTGATGTCATATTGGAGGAGCTTATATGTAGTGTTAAGTAAATGCCAGTCATTGTGAGGTTATATTTCAATACCCCCTGACTTACCCTGATACAAATTATAAACTAGCTCTCTGTCTAGAGCATTTTCCCCACACTTCCTCCAAAGTGCTTAGGACATTGTACATCATTGTTCCTTTCCCCACAAAGTTGTTACTGTTAAACTCCATCAATGATCTTAGGAAGGGTTTTTGGGATTTTTTTTAAAACTCTGGGTTTGGGAGCTTATTTGGGTGTAATGCTTGCTGCTGAGCAAATTTGTATGGGAGAGCTACAGCTCAGTCACATGTAATTTATGTTTTTGTAGACGTGGGTTCCAGGTTCAATTCCAGGCATGTCTAGCTAAAAGGTTTTGGGTAAAACTCAGAAAGATCCCTTCCAGTGGTCAGGGTGCCTAAAACACCCTCTTGGTATCTCTGGGCAGAAAGGCAGGATTTAAATGGTGCAATAAATAATATAAAACCTGCCTGGCAGTTATGATCAGCAACAGAGGCCCTGCTTCAGAACTGATTTGAATGGACACTAGAGACAGTGCCTTTTCACTGGTGGCACCTTGGTTGTAGAACATTGTTCCCACAGCTGCTTTCCTGGACGTAATTATTGTCTGGCTTTAGTTTTAGGCATCAGGTGATGATTTTTCTGTTTGCCTAGACATTTAGTTGACTTCTCTCTCCTCACTTTTATCCTTGTGAAGATTGCTGGTCTACATTTTCAATACTGAATTATCGTTCCCACAGCTGCTTTCCTGGACATAATTATTGTCTGGCTTTAGTTTTAGGCATCAGGTGATGATTTTTCTGTTTGCCTAGACATTTAGTTGACTTCTCTCTCCTCGCTTTTATCCTTGTGAAGATTGCTGGTCTACATTTTCAATACTGAATTGATTTTTTAGTTTTAGAACAGCTTTAAATTTGACTACTCCACCATTTTAGTGCTTGTTTTGTAGTTTTTGGTTTGTTTTATTCATTTTACATTTAAAACTGCCTTGAGGCCCATTAGCTGAGAGTACAGTTGATGACTTTTAAGTAAATAAATAAGATAAAATTAATAAAACATGTATTTGTCTGCCTTTTTAGCACTGCCACCTCCAGCACCTCCTGAATTCAGTGCTGCTTTCAGAAATGTGGTGAAAGTTCTAAACTGTGATATCATGATGCATATTCTGAGAACTGTTTTGCAAAGAGCACTAGAGCTGGAAAGCCATTTGTGGACTGAAGGAATGATCCAGATGGTATGCTTGCCAACAATGTTTTCCTCTAGAATTTCTCTTTTGATCAGGGGCCAACATGGGGAGGGGAACAACAGGTACTCTTTTCTGCAGCCCAGAAATCCAATTGAACCCAGTCTGGGCTGTTACTGTAATAAGCTTCATTTTGTTTCAAAAACAAGTTTTTCCCCATAAGTTGGTATGTGTGTGATGAGATTCTGAGGATAATAAAAGGGAAATGACTCAAGTTTTTTACTGTACTCTGAGAAATGATGGTCAGGCTCTGGTTCTGCTTTGTTTGTAATTCTGTTACCTTTACTTTCTTGAGGGTTTCCCCATTATGTGACAATGTAGTAAAAATGCTGAACATCAAGGCTATATTCTGTATGTTGTTCTAGCATTTAGTTTGCCCTTGAATGCCAGAGGAATATATTTGAATGGCTATAGTGAATGAATCCGTTTTTAAAAACAGGTTTTAATGACATATACTTTGCTGTTGATCAGGGACAAAAGTGGCTGTGGGTTTGTACTCCTCCCCCCCCCCCCCCCCCGTATTCAAATTCAGCTGCATGGGCTACCAATTTGCCCTGCATAGTTTTCCTAATCTACCTCACCTTTCCCCTACTTCTTCTGTTAGTCCCGCAAGTAAGAGAATTGTACAAACAGCATCAGTGTCTGTGTTTCTTTTCCTCCCACAGGGCTAACAGCAGTTGGGGAGCAGTGATTTGGACTGGGAGAATGTTCTAGTGGGTGAAGGGTTAAATACTGCTTCCAGTCTCCCCACTCTGCTAGAGCCCAAGCAAACTGGAAGCCACCCTAACAGCTGAATTTAAGTGAAAGAAAAATAATATTAGCATGTATTATTATGCATGCCCAAGTCATACTCATCTTTGCCCTCAATTAATGAGTCCCAGCTGAATGTGTGAATGCACTCAATTTGACACATTATATATGAATTAAATGTTCTGTAACGTAAGAATAAATACACTACATCATATAGTCCTTAGCAGGTTTGGCTGTCATACCTATTACTGTTTTGTTCCTCTGTTTGGGCACAACTTTTCAGTAGATTATGGTCAGTAGTAGTTCCACTGAGCTTAGGCTAAAATTTCCTATAATCTTTTTGGCATTTAAAAAGTATGGTAGTATAGCTTTCATGCTCTTCTGCTTAATTGAGGGCCTAGGGAACTCAAAGTGCCTGGAATTTACGCACTATGCAATAAAATAACAGAAACATTTTTTTAAAAATGCAACAAAGCAACTAGTGCAAAAGATATAGAATGTGAAATTCTTATTTGTTAGGTTTTGCTTATGGGCAAAAATGTTGATGGAACCCAGACTTCTGGTTAATCTATTTCATATTATAAGCACAACTTCCCCTATTGCTATTGGATATTGAGCAATGATCATCATATATCTAATATTCAAGTGCGGACAAGCAACTGAGTTGAAGGGGAGAGCAGGAGTTGCAGTGGGCCTGGCAGCAAAGTCCAGGAGCACCACCAGGCTCACTGCCAGTAGCAGCAATAGTGAAGGGCGTGGGAGCTGCAGTAGAGGCCATCAGCTGTAGTGAAGGGGGTGGTGGTAGCCATGGTGGAGGCCAGGAGCTGTGCAGGGCTCGGCAGCAGTAACGAGGGAGGCTGTGGTGGAGGCTGAGAGTCATGCTGGGCTAGTGATGGAGGGGCAGGGAGCCATGGTGGGAGCTGTGGCAGGCTCGGCGGTGGCCACAGTGGGGGGGGGAGCTGCACCATACCTAATGGCAGTGGCAGCAATGGTGGGGTGGGGCAGGAAGCTGCAGCAGGCCCAGTGGAAAGCTAAGAGGGGGAAGGGGTCCCCTGTAGGTATCATGGATCCCTGCTTGTCTCTCTCTATTGCAGTATTTCTGCGGTAACCCCCTCCCATTTGTCTGTTTTACAGCTTTAGCCTCAAGGGTCCCCTGTCCCCCCAGAGCAGCATTAAGAGGAGTTCAGTGAGTTGCCACAAGGAAGCAGGGAACTTCCATTCCACTAACTGGTGCCTTCTGTTAGTGGGAAATTGCATCTGAATCTGGATCCAACCTGATGACTTATTTTTGAAATAATGATGTCCATGTGCATTTTCAGGAGGGTATACAGTGCTTGATTTAGTGCCAAAATAAGATGTGACTTTTTAAATGGGACATGTCCAGATTGTCTGGAACTGACTTGGTTTTCCAGTAGCCACATAGCATCTGTGTGGAACTAATTTTCAAAGCACCGCAGGGGCCTGATTCAGATGGGGACTGTGGCCCAAGGGGAGGAGAGGCTTCTCTTTTCCCTCAGTGCCATTTTCTGGAATGAAGCATCCCTGGGAGGTGTTATTTTGGAGCTACAGAATACTACACTGCAGGGAAAGTGAGTCGGGTCCAGGTTTCATTTAAAAATTCACATCTAATTAGCCATTAGTAACAATGTTACAAGGAGAGAAATGCAGAGCATCCTGTCAGGATACCATCCAGACCTGATTCTCACAGTTGTAATGCCAGGTATTCCCAGACCACCCACTGGACCCCCCAAAAAACGCATTTTAATCACTTTGTCTCAGTTGGCCTCATCAGGCATGCCTCATTTTGAGTTAGGGGATTAATGACTGCTTGTCAATGGTCTTTCATTTCCCATATTTTACATAAATCTGTGCAGGAAATCCTAATTGCAGTGAAGAACACCAGCAGATTTACCTGCTGCATTTTTTTTAGGAAACAGTCAAGTGCTGGACAGCTGGGTAGCCAGGTAATGGCAAGTTCTTCTTTTTCCCTCCTACATGGTCAGCATGGGAACATATCTTGCAAGCCAGAGAGTGTGTCATAATAGTAGACTAAGTGAAAACATGCATGTGTGAGGAGGCCTGAATAAATCATACAGGTTTGTACTTTCCTAGGTAGGAACACATATCTTGCAAGCCAGAGGGTGTGTCATAATAGTAGACTAAGTGAAAATCATACAGGTTTGTACTTTCCTAGGTTCTTCACCTCCTTGCTTTGGGTTTATTAGAAGAAAAACAACAGTTAGAGAAGGTTCCAGAAGAAGAAGTGACCTTTGACTTCTACCACAAAGCATCAAGTAAGTGCCGCCTCTTATAAGATCTTTTTGCTGTACTGAACTAAAAAGTTAATTCACTGATCTAGGGAACCAAATTATAAAGTGGTTTCTCAGCAGCAGAGGGACAGATATTTGAAGTGAAGATGGAGTGCTTGATCTTGAATGTAGAAAGCCCTGAAGAGTTCTCACCAGCAGCAAATGGCCATTAATAAACAAAATGCATGCTAAAGAAATGTTTGAAGGGTCACTCATTTTAAAACACGGATGTTGGTCAGGTTCTTGATTTGTCTGGAAATATCTTCATCTGAATTAGAGGCAAGTGTCGTCATTTAAATCTACAGACTGCTGCTGATTGTTGTAACCCCTGATTATGCTAACCTCCATTTGGTGGTGGGCAAAATATTTGAACCAGAGTATAAGCAAATTGTCTGTAATTACACTGTAATTATCTATAGGGTCACAGAGACACTTTCAGGTTATGTTTGAGTCTGTGGAGAAGTAATGAGAATGATCCTAAGCCATCTCTGTGGTACAGTCCTCTGTGGCTTGTAACTTGCGAAGAATTGTAAGGTATCAGTGTTATAGCAGTGATGAAAGAGATGTAACAAAAAGAGGTCTCCTGTAACTTTAAAACACATCCATGTATTTTAAAATCTGTCCATATATATGTCCATATACTTTTAAACAGCGTATACTCATATTTTTATTAAGTTCTTGTTATCTATTTCCAAAGGAATGGGAAGCTCTGCTTTGAATGCAATGAATATACTAATGATTTTGGAAAAACTGAAAGGAATTCAACAGCTAGAATCCCAAAAGGATATGATCAACTGGGTATTGCAAGTAAGGAAAGCAAGAGACATGCATAGTTCTGTTTAAAGCCAAGCTTGAACTTTTAAAGGAATCTGCTAACACTATTTCATAGAATGCTGCTTGTGTAACAACTTCATAGGACAAATTGTGTCGATGTATTTTTTAGTATTTTGTTTTTTTGAGAAGGAAACAGTTCACTGGAAATCCATGTTTGTTATAAAATGAAGGATTTGTAGCTTTCTAAAACTTGCCAATCGCCTTAAATTTTGAACAGCTAAACAGTGATCTAAAAAAATTCCTAGCTTTACCTACACACTAGCAGAATCTAAACTGTCTGTGACTCGCCAGGAAGCTGGGTGATGATAGTGGGTGGCTCACTGAAAAGAAAAACTCAGAGTCAAACTAAGCGTAATACTAGAGATCTGTTCATTTCAGAGTAAACCAGCTTCAGGCGACGGTCTGGGATTGGGAACTGTGCGTTAACCCTTACCACATTTTCATGACCTCAGTCTGTCCCTTGGAGCTGCCACTTGCCCCACAGGGAGAAATATACAGGCATTCACAGTGGCTGTATGTTCCTCCCCACTAGACTAACTGAGGATACAGCAGTATTGAAGGAAAACAGTTAAAAGCCAGTTTCCCCCTGCACCTGTTATATACTTTATCAAAACTACAAGAATCCTTCATGGATTTTTCAGCATCACAGTTAGTTGGGCCATCCATATGCTCTCTAATTCCATATTAGGGATTAGTTAGGAAAGAAACTGAAACAAAATCACTATCATAATGAATCTATGGCATGGTTTACATGTATGTGTATAGAGGACGGAAATTGGTTTCACACATTTTTTACAGAAGCAACTAATTGGCCATTAGATGGGCCAATTTTTTAAAATAACTTTTTGAAATCCAACCAAAGCCTACTTATTTTTTTTGGGGGGGGGGCAGGAGCACTAACCCTAAACTGAAATGTATTTTCTTGTAAAATACCTAAACCCTCACCTGCAGTTAACTGTTACTAAAACGTAGTGAGACATTTAAAACCATCAAAGAACTGTAAAACCAGAACCAGAAGAATGCAAAAACATAAAAGCTTTAAAATAGTGACAACCTGGAAATTCCTCCCCCCACCCAAGCACAACCCCTTAAAAAATTTAGAATTTTTGAAACAGAGAGAATACAAAGCAGTTTAAAAATTCCAAAAACAAGCAAAGCAAAGCAAGGAAAACTATTTTTAAAAGAGACGGAAAGAAAACAGAGGGGGGGCCCCCAACTACAACCCTCAGACAAAAATAAAAAACAGAATAACTTGAAGAAAAATGTAAATAACATTTTAAAACAAAATCCCCTGTGGGTAAGCCAGTCCTGAAGATGTCTGGGCACAGAACAAGAATGCCTTCCTTTGCAGGCAGCAGAAATTCTAAGGCACAGACCAGAGCAGAAGTAGCAGCAAGTACCAGCAAGGCTTTTAAAAAATCTAGCCTTGCAGTGGAGATAAGCTGCGGGGCAAGTCTCTTTTTATTTTCTTTGTACCTATTCAGAGAGCCATGGAAGGCCCTGAGAGAAATGGCATGATCTGGCAACCTGTTCTGATACTCTCCCTAACATTTCATCCCATTGCCAGAAAGAGCTGCCTCCTTCCCCCTAACTGCTATTACCTGAGAAACCTGTAAAATATAAAGAAAACAGCTTTAAAATGCTATGCTAGCCTTGAATATTCCCAGAAATATTCAGGGTCCGATTATTGGTATTCTGAGAAATCCAGGTATACAAATATATCTGGAAAACACCAAGAAGGTATTCTTCAGATGTACCAGACCAGAAGTATCCAAATGTACATCCCTAGTGACAAAACAATGTTGGCCAGTAAATACAACGCAAGCTTAGGTTCAGCCATAGACTTCTGACAACTCTTTTTCCAATAAGGAAAGATGTAATTGTGATCCTTTTATATGATCAACAGAATTATGCTCTGTGTACCTTCTGAGAAGCTTCATATGTAGATGTGTTACCAGCAGGTTTTACAGAGACTGACCTAGTACATCATATTTGGAGGGAAAGGTAGTGTGAGGCAAAAGTACCAGCTGTATCTAACAGTGTTGCTACCAAGTATGGCCTGTACCGATGTTTCCCAGGGCAAACTGTTATCAAACATGACCTCATAGCATCATTTGTACAGTATATAATCCATAGTTTAACAATCATACCTTTGTTCCTAGATGTTTGAAACAATAAAACATCTAAGAGAGAAGTCTAATTTGCCAACAATTGCTACTGCATCTGCATCAGAAACTACAAAAGTCCATGAGGTAACCATAAATCAAGAAAGAAATAATATAGAAAAACAGTTGAATGGTGTCAAATTGGAACTCTGATCCATCAAGTCACTTAAGTTCAGTGATGTTAAAGGAACTGAAAAGTATGTAAGTGGGAATCCAAAATAATTTGCAAGGAGCCTCTTTGTTCCTTCCCTTGCCTGTCTACCAGCATGCCTTGCTGGCATATTGCTCTGCAGCCGGCCTTCACAGAAGCAGCGTCACTGCCATTTCCTTGAAGTTCTGTATTCTCTTGCTCTGAGAGATCTCTGTGCTGTTTCCCCTCTAAAGAGAGGGTAGCACAGAATATTTTTGCTGAGGTCAGGGAGCAGCTGTTTAATGTTTATGATTTATGTCCCAAAACTAATGCACATTCTGCAGGCGTTGGATAAATGCAGCATTTGCAAACTACTGATTTTTCAGGGTGGGAGTTGCTGTATCTTCTCCCCCTCCCCACAAATGTTGTGGGAAGTTGGTTTAGAGGAACCAGACTTCCTTCTTCAGCCAGGCTTGTGTCCAGGGCAGTCAATCTATTCTCTGCTGTTGGGGGAGAGTGGCCAGCAGCTGAGAGTGGTGTATGTGGGCCAGCTGTGCAAGGATTCAGATGTTGAGCAGTGGCCTCCAACTTTAATTTTGGCTGACCTGCAGTCTCGCCATGAGCAATGACAAGCACGTCCTGTTCTGTAATCCTACTCTGTTTTCAATGGAAAGAAAGAGATCAAATGCCATTTAAGGGAACTTTTGTTAATAAGTGGATTCATTTATTTTCTGATGCTAAATAAGGTACAAAGTACTCAGGACAAGGAAAAGGCAGAGAGGAAGAGGAAGGCAGAAGCAGCTAGGCTACATCGCCAGAAGATCATGGCCCAGATGTCTGCCTTGCAGAAGAATTTCATTGAAACTCACAAGCTCTTATATGAGAATACACAAGAAATACAAGGAAGAGATGTTATGGAAGAAGAAAGGTAGGAAGAAAGAGTAACCAATTATAAAATCATCACTAGCTTTCTGACAATAAAAAGCAGTGCAAAGTTTTTATTGCTCCAGTGGAACCATAGAGTTGAATTCGGCCAGCTGTTCAGCTCAGTCTCCTCCATACTGCAGCGCCCTATCACATGTGGCTTTTGTCTCTTCCAGTCCCATGATCCCTATCATAGCCTTTTGAGTAATCAGCAGGGACCCACTCCTCCCTTTTGACCAGCTGCAAAGCTGTGTGGATCCAACCCATAATATCTCTGGTCTGATGGGTGATTGAAATTTCTCAGTGTATTGGTAAATATGGTGTACACATTATTTTGAGTACCAAAGTTATATAGTTTTTTGTAATGAATTAGATACTATAACATCTTAGATTCAGTATTTGCTGCTGCTTCTCCATAAATCTTACAGGTTTAAGTTAAAGCTGTAGAAGTTCTCATAGCTTCCTATAGCCCTTCTGGTGCTTGTTCTGCAGCTTTTTACTTAGGTTTTAAAAACATTCATGCCCCTGTTAGTCTTAGATTGCATAAATTAGGAATCCTTTTGTATGTTACATGCATAGTAAGTGTACCACACATACCCCATAAACGTTTTATTCTATGCAGGATTCTTTTGGTAGAAAAAGCCCAGCAGGAACTCAATAGCATAATAGGCCACACCCAACAGCAGAAACTCATTAGCATATTGGGTCACAGCCCCGACAGCACAGCTCATTGGCATATTAGGCTACACCCCCATGCCTTCCCTTGGCTTGCCCGGGCGCCCCGTGACTGCGGAGAGCCCGGGCAAGCCCCCCTTGAAGGGAAGGGAAAGCTTGGAGTCTCCAGGGGGGGTCGCTCTCCAGGCCTTCCCTCTGTAGCTACGCATGCAGAGGTTTTGGCTGTAGTGGGCGTGGCCAACTCTGAAGCCAGCCGGAACTCCGTTCCTGTGCGTTCCTGCCCAAAAATAGCCCTGATTCTATGTATACACATAGTGAATGGGGAAGGGATACTATTTACATTTCCCTCTGGCATATCATAAGATGTTCCAACTTTATAAGTAGTGAGGCATGCCGATCAGACCTGATCTCAGGGCAATGCCGCATTTATTTGAGCATGTGACTTTTCTGACCCTGGAAGAAGAGATCACATTTTGCAAGACTAGGCAAGGTCTTAGATTGGTCGTTCAGTTCTCTCCCCTTGCATTAGGGGAGCAATGGTTAGGATGACCTTATCCTAAGATCAGCTTCTAGTGTCTCCCCAAGTGAAATTCCAGGGAAGAAATCATGCCCAAACAGGGCTTAGATTATGAATTTTAAAAATGAGTGCATGAGAATATTTTCAAATATTAATTTATAGGCTTGATAAATCCTTGTTTATTTATTTATTTATATTTATACTTATATTTATACCCCGCCCACCCTGTAAACAGGCTCTGGGCGGCTCACAGAAGACGGCAAAGTATGCCGAATTAGCATAAAACCATAAAACATTAAAATAATATAAAATATTCTTAACGTTACAACAATAACGTTTAAGATGCTCGCAGTATTAACATAGATGGTGTGAATTTCCATTCCAGCAATTTCCTGATCTTATGGCCAATCCTATGGTCCAGATATTAAATGGCGTAGTCCATAGTAGGCCAGTCCCATTCCAGATGTTCAATGAAATAGTTGGTGGTAACAGTGGTGGTGGCGGCTCCTGTTTAAAAGCCTGGCGGAAGAGCTCCTCCGGGAGCTCGTTCCACCAGTAAGGAGCCGCCACCGAAAACGCCCTGGCCTTGGTGATGGCAAGCCTCGCATCCTTGGGGCCTGGAATAGTTAAACGTTGTTGTGCCCCGGACCGTAGTGCTCTCTGGGGTATAAATGGGAAAAGGCGGTCCCTCAGGTAAGCCGGACCATGGCCATATGTTGTTGATGTAGTGTTTACGACTGTCTGTGATTTACTCTCCTAATACATTTCTGTAATGGACTTTATTTTATTTAGTGTATTCTGGTTGACAACTAGTGCATTTGTAGTTTAGCTGGGGGTAAAGCACAACTTTATAAAACTTATTTGTTCGTTATTTTGATATACATTTCAAATTTGGTTGTTTGTCAGAAGAAATCTTATGCATTTAACAGAAATCTGTTTGTTTGAACCTTGTCTCTGTGCCTTTCCAGCACACTGCCAACCGTGGATTACTCCAGAATTGCCTTGGGGCCCCAGCGAGGTCCATCTTTTACAGAAAAAGAGATGTTGACATGTATCTTGTGTCAGGAAGAACAGGAAGTGAGGCTGGATAACGCTGCCATGGTTCTATCTGCCTGTGTGCAGAGATCCACTACCTTAACCCAGAACAGGGGGAAAGTGCTTGAATTTCCAGTAGGTATGTATCCCTCTATTAGCAACTTGCTTGCATTGTCACTGACTTCATCTAGGAACTCATTTTGGTGCTATATCTTATCAATCTGCTACAAAATGACATTTTTTGTTGTGAAACTTTTGGGAATCGTTTGTGTGAAAGCCATATAGCTGAGAAAATTACAGAGAATTTGTGACACTTGCTACCCTGGATCCCATGTTGAGAAAGGGGTGAAAACCAGCATGGTGTTTTGGTTAATAGTGGTGGACTCTGATCTAGAGAACTGGGTTTGATTCCCCACTCCTTCACATGAAGCCCCCTCAGTGACCTTAGGCCAGTCACACAGTTCTCTCAGAACTCTCTCAGCCCCACCTATCTCACAAGGTGCCTGCTGTGGGGAGAGGAAGGGAATGTGATTGTAAGTCGCTTTGAGACTCCATAAGGTAATGAAAAGCAGGACATAAAAACCTACTCTTCTTCTGAGGTAGAACTTTTAAAAATAAGGAATATGCTGACATAGCATAGCAGCCAAAGAATGAGGGGAAATCCCTTATTCAAATCTTGTCCCTGTAATAGACTCTCTTGGTGACCTCAGCTGGCCAACCTTAGAGGACTGTTGTAAGGACGGCCACAAGCTAATGTTTGTGAAGAACTTTGAACACAGAGTACTTACTGTTATTCTATGTCTTAATTTTTATTCTGTAAACTAAATATTGTGGGGGGAAATCCACATCTTTCCTCGTGTCTCATTGCAATGCAATCATAAGAAAACAGCACCAGTACGTTGCCGTTTGCTGTTGCAGTCTTAAAACAAATCATAATGTTTAGTGTTGAAAACTTAACCTGCCGTATGAAAGGTCCTTGGTGTCTTCCAAGTTTTTTTTTTTAAATCCTTGTCAAATGTAAAAGGAAAAGCTGCTATTTGGGATTTAATGCAGAAAACTCCTGTTACTACATGAAATCAAAAACTGTTGCTAGTCCTGACAAAATTCTTCTTTTTGTGCAAAATTTGTTATTTGGTTCTTCATGTTTCTGTTTGATTAAATGATGCAGATGTTCTTGATGTCACTTTCCCTCATTTATAAACTAGATCCTCTCTTCATGGGTACTGACTTGTCATGTGGAATTCATACAGGAAGTTGTGGTCATGTGATGCATGCTGCTTGCTGGCAGAAGTAAGCAGAAACTTTAAATATATTTTATTTGCTTAATCGATAGACTCTCTTTTAGGGTGCTTAAGCTTATTTTAATGGTTAAAGTGCGAGAGCATCAGTCAGATGTTTCTGTGTAAGAAGTTAGAGCAAGTTAACACGAGCATATGCTTAAAAATACAAGGCAAAATAACAGGCAAAAATAGCAATTTAGAGTATACTGGTTTTTATAATAACAGTGGAATACGTCATTGAAATACTCAAAGGTGTAATAACAGTTATCTAGTGTGATGTTTCTGCCTGTGTATGGGAGTGCATATTTTTATAGTGTTTACATGCAAGACTGTTTTAAATCACCTCAAGCTTGTTCAGCAGTGCATTCTAGGTTCAGTTCTCAACTTAGAAGTATTTTCCGTGGGTACCAGTGCCTCTCCTTTCCTGTAGATAGAGGATGCAGTTCACATACTGTATGAATGTATTACATTTATTGAAACACTGCATTTAGTTGAACACTGGATCTCCTAGGCTACCTGATTCTTCTCACCAAAAAAACAACACACACCCCTGAAACAGATTGGAGGATTATGGAGAGTCTGTTCAAATAAATGTAGTGCAGCCCAGATAAGTCTTCACCTCTTGGATGAGACGATGTAGGAGATGCATGAGAAGCAGGGGCTAATCCTACGCTGAGAACTGCCCCTGAAAAGTAATACCTGAACAGGACCTATCCCATACATTGGTTCACCCTATAACAAGTGAGCAGATTTATAAATCTTTAGGCAGTGTTTAGAACAGCCAATTTTCACATAGCTGGTTTATAGTCATTTCAGCAGAATGGGAAGGAAAGGTTGACAACCAAGAAATGAAGAAGGGACAATATCATTCATACTTAGTCCCTGTGATCCGAAGGGTCTAAACTGGGAAACTTATTCTCCCTTGAGAAGCCCCTGGAATTCATCCTCCCACCCCAGCAGCTGTATATACTGCCTATTGAACTGGGCCAGGCATGGTTTTTCACTGCCAGCCACTTCTAGTTCTCCCACAGAGCCAGGTAGTTCATTAAAGAGATATAAGGTTTTGCTGCCTCTCTGCAGATGTGCACTTGCTGGACACAGCCCTTTCCATTCTCTTGTTCTTAAGCATATAAAATTTCTATAAGGAAGCCAAGTCAGTAAGGGCAAGGGATTCTAGCACAGAAGAGTTAAATGGATATAAAAACTTTTATGTTGCTCTGGAAGCTTTCTCTCTGGTTTCCATTTGAATATTGCAGATACTTTGAAGCCATTCAGCTAAACTCCCGGCAACGTCTTCATGTTGAGCAGGTTTTTGACTTAGAAAATGGAGAATATCTCTGCCCACTCTGCAAATCCCTGTGCAACACTGTTATTCCCATTATTCCTTTGCAGATACAGAAGATAAACAGGTATGTTACATTGTTTAATTTTCTCAGTACTTATGTGTAAAAGCAGTTTTCTTGTCATGTACAAGGAGAAAGTAGTTGATTCATTCTTGCCTGAGTTTGATGTCAGTAGCTGTTTAACAGTAGTCATATGTTTGCTCATCCTCCCTGTGTAGAGAGAGAAGAATATTTTTCTAAAGGTTATTTCATCCTATATATATATAATTCCCTCATGTATTGGCCATTTCTAGTTCTCCCATTGGCTGTGCAGTACGCTCCATCAGCCATTGGCCCATCAACTGCCACTCAAGAGTACTCATGTGCCATTGGCTGGGGATGGGTCTGCTCCTCTCCCCTGCCCACTGCTAGCCTGAACACTCTTCCCTCACAGAATAAAGTATCAAAACGGCTGTCTCTCCTGACGAAGATATTTCTCCTTCTTGGCGCCTGTGGGACTAACTTTTACCTTAGTTGCTGTTGCTAGGCAACCAAGCTTGGCTCTGTCAGTAAAAAGGCAAAAGCAGGAGGCGCTTTCCAGGCCTTTGTGGGGAACTCATTGGGGCCAGTAGGGTTGCCAACTCCAGGTTGGAAAATTCTTGCATATTCTGTGGTGGAGTCTAAGGAAGCCAGAGTTTGGGGAGAGGAGAGGCCTCAGCTGAATAGAATGCCATAGAACCCACACTCCAAAGCAGTTATTTTCTCCAGGGGGGAGAGATCTGTTGTCTAGAGTTCAGTTGTGATACTCAGTGATCTTCAGGCTCCACCTGGAGGTTGGTTACCCTAGGCGTAGCAGTTAGCGCTTCAGAGCAGGGTCTGCTAGACCCAGGTTCTTGCTGTGGAAGTTGAGTGGGTGATTTCGGACCAGTCACAGACTTTCAACCTAACCTACCTTACAGAGTTATTGTGCAGATCAAAACGGGGAGAGGAGAATGATATAAGCTGCTTTGGTCTCCACTGCAAACAAAGACTGTCCTTTTCCTCCTAGGGAACCATTGCTGCCAATTTGCAGGTGAGGGCTGGAGATCACTTAGAATTAAAACTGCTCTCCAGAGGGGCAGATAACTGTAGGTTGATGGTTGGCTGTGAGGGAGATAGGGTTGCCAACTCCAGGTTGAGAAATTCCTGGAGATTTGAGGGATGGAGCCTGGAGAAGGTGGGGTTTGTGGAGGGGTGGGACCTCAGACAGTTACAATACCATAAACTCCACCCTCCAAACCAGCCATTTCCACCTGGGAAACCATTGTTGCCAATCTCCAGGTGAGGACTGGAGATCACTCAGAATTACAACTGCTCTCCAGATGGCAGAAATCAGTTCCCCTTGAGAAAATGGTGGGCTCTGTGTCATTATACTCTGCTGAAGTGGCCCCCCAAGACAGCCAGTGTAACGTAGTAGTTAGCACTTCAGAACAGGGTCTTCCAGAGCCAAGTTCTTCCTGTGGAAGCTAATTGGGTGATTTCAGACCACTCACAGACTTTCAGTGTAACCTGCTCACAGGGTTGTTGCGCAAATCAAAAGGGGGAGAGGAGAATGATGTGAGCTACTTTGGTCCCCACTGTGGCGAAAGACTGTACTTTTCCTAGATAGACGCTACAGGGAGGGAGGAAGAGATGGAAACCTGAAGTCAGAGGGGCAGATAATGGTATTTTGATGGTTGGCTGGGAAGGAAATAGGGTTGCCACGTCCAGCTTGGGAAATTCCTGGAGGTTTGAGGAATGGAGCCTGGAGAGGGTGGGGTTTGAGGAGGGGTGGGACCTCAGACAGGTACAATGCCATACACCCTCCAAACCAACCATTTCCTCCTGGGGAACCATTGCTGCCATTCTCCAGGTGAGGGCTGGAGATCACTCAGAATTAAAACTGCTCTCCAGATGGCAAAGATCAGTTCCCCTGGAGAAAATGGCTACTTTGCAGGGTGGACTCTGTGTCATTATACCCTGCTGAAGTCACTTCCCCTCCTGATTGGGTCCCCACTGAGGTGGAGAAAAACTATACTTTTCCTAGGTAGAGGCTCCAGGTGTGGTGTGGAGATGGAAAGCTGAATTCAGAGGGGTAGATAATGGCATGTTGAACTTTGGCTGGGAAGGAGATAGGGTTAAAGACAGGTACAATGCCATAGACTCTACCCTCCAAACCAACCATTTCCTCAAGGGGAACCATTGTTTCCAATCTCCAGGGGAGGGCTGGAGATCACTCAGAATTACAACTGCTCTTCAGATGGCAGAGTTCAGTTCCCCTGGAGAAAATGGTAATCTCTATGTCATTATACCTTGCCGAAGTCACCAGAGCAAATTGACACTGTGCGCCCAAGGCGAGGGTACCCGCCCAGACCCTCTTTCTAGAGCTCGTTGTATTTATTTCCACAATGAGCCTTATTCGTAGTATTCAAATAATTACTTTAACAACTGGATAATTAATTTAATAACTAATTTATGTGCATCTCAGAGCCTGGATGGAGGAGTAGACTTCTGGTTATGTGCTGTTGTTCAGTGACCACTTTCCTTTTATGTTGCCAGTGAAGATGCCGAATTGGTGGCTCAGCTTCTGCCTTTGTCAAAGTGGATTGAAATTGTTATGGCCAGGATATATGGTTACAGCAAGAAGGGTCTTCAAGGTTAGCTTTTTATGCAGTTCTTTACCTTTGGGAAAATAGATTTAACAGTTTGAATCTTTAAACACAGCTATATTACCTTATTCTTATGCTGTTGCAGGAACACTTTAGGGAAAGTTACAGAATAATTGTGTGGATTATTTAAAGATAATGGAAGTGTCCTGCAAAGCAGTCATTCTCCAGTTTGTTTGAATGGGACGCTTCTAAACTTTTCAGGACCCACTTGCAAAATAATCCCGTGCTACTTTCCTCTTTACTACATGCCACAGTTAATCCTTATTTTCTCAGAATACCATATAGGAATAATTAAGCAGAGACTACATTATTTTTTCTAAGTAATTTTGAATTAACATGAGTAGTTTTTATTTCAGTTTGTTCATCTATTGCAGTTTGACTTATGATTTTTTTCTTTTTCAAAAAGAAGAAAAGCAAACATTTCTATGCAGTAAAGAAGTGGAGAATTCTTCCTCAGACTTCCATTCCATTCTCAGCTTTGGAGTTCAGCCTTTGTAAGTGTAAACAGTCACTTTTCTATTTGTCTTAGATAAATCTAGAATATATACTTTGGGCATTGTAGTCTGTTGGGTGAAACATGAGTCCTGGGAAGGGGGATTAAGACATATATAAGGCATATAAACTTATTATATAAGGTCAAAGTTGTACATTGAAAAGCTTTGCTTTTTAGAGAATTCTCTTAAGCTCCCTAGAGCAGGGATGTCAAACATAAGGCCCAGGGGCCGGAACTGGCCCATCCAGGGTTCTTATGTGGCCCATGAGCAACTAGTGAAAGGGAGGGAACAGGAGACTGCTCATGGGGGAGTGGGCGGAGCCACTCCAATTGTAGTTTCAGCACGGTGGAACAACCTCATCTGCAGGAGTCAAGCAGTGTGGGAGCATCTGCCCAGTGCTGCACCACTGGCTCTCCAGTCCATCTATATGTGTTTTCCTTTCCACACACACACCCCAGCCGATGGGGCCTTGTGGTGGGTATACAACAACTCAGAGCCTAACCGTTGCTTTCCTTTATACAGTTTATATCTCCGCTACCTGCTATTATGTTTTATGGCACACATGGCTGGCCCGACAAAGTGACATTTGTGTCAGATCTGGCCCCCGTAACAAATAAGTTCAACACCTCTGCCCTAGAGTATATATTAGTGAAAAAGTATGTCTTATGGTAATTCTGCTCCTTATATGGATTGCCTTCATTTCTTAATTTGTGATCTTCCATATTGTAGCTTTTTATATCCCACTCTGGTAACAACTTTGACAATAATCCCTGATTTACTTAACATGATTAGGAAAGCAAAAGCAGAGAGGCCCTAATTCAATTTTATCTGTTGATCAACTATCACTATCTTAAATATACAACCCAGATCAAATGATAATTTACTGCAGTTCTGATTTAACCTGAAAGCAGTCCACAATAATAAACAAAAATTTCTGGTTGAAACACACTGGGATTTCAAGCCTGTTATCAAGGATTACTGATTCATAAAGACAAATCACTGTTGACTTCTTCTTAAAATGACTGTGACTGATCATAGATAATCTCAATCTATCCCTTGAATTTCTGAAGTATCTGTTGTCACCAGTTCACAGACTGACATTCTCCTTTGCTTCTTCTATAGAGACAGATATTCTAATAGTATCAAAGAGATGGTCCTTCTCTTTGCCACTGCAATTTACAGAATTGGATTAAAGGCTGCTCCAAATGAAGTTGATCCACGCATTCCTGTGGTGACTTGGAGCACATGTGCTTTTACCATCCAGTGTTTAGGTAAGCCAAAAATAGAAATTTTCACAACAAATTTTTGCTTTTATTAAACTTGACATTGATAGAGTTTTAGAGCTACTAAAATGTGATTTCTGAATTAGAACTTGGCACAGTAATGGATTGGATCCAACAGAAGGAGTTGGCAGAGTGCATTTTTCTTTGCTTTTCACTTTTCCAAGAAGCCTGCTGCGTGTCCCAAAAATGGTCTCTGATGATCAGGAGAGCCTCGCAGACGAACTGTAGCACAATACAGGGCCCTGCAGTGATAGGAGGAATCAAGTAAAAGCATACCCTTCTCCCACTTCTGTTCACAGCTTGAAACGGGGGTGGTGGTGGGGGTGGGGGTGGTGTGACTTTACCTGATTTCCCCATCACCACTGCACCATCCTGTACTGTGGTAGCTTCTATTAGTGAAGGTTTCCTGATCCTTAGAGCTGTTTTCTGGAACAAACAGCGGCATGTGTGGAGACCAAATGTAAATCATTTCTTTACCTTTAGATTACATGACTTACTACAAATTGTCTTTGTTTCCTCATAAGAAAATCTTCTTGAATATGAGAGCAAGCCTTTATTTGGATGTCTACAAAATAGACAGGTATGGATGTTCCGTAATGTAATTGCCTAGTATTACTCCTGTGCCTTTAATGAACATCTTACATTTTCAATTACACAACATGAAAAAATAAAATAAATATGTTTTGTATTATGACTGTTCTACATTTTTCACTAGTACAAGGAACACCTAGCATCTGCACTGCTGTTAAAAGAATCTAATTGTGTCGAACACATTGACCCCAGCACAGGAAGCCAGTTACATGCATTCAGCAGGGCTTTGGACTTCTGCATCTCAAACAGCAATTACAGCTACCACCCTACATAACAACACTTCAGAAATCTTAACAGTTTACTATTGCAGGGGAGGGTGTTGCGCGGTGTGCGTAGGACAGCCTGAGTGCCAGTAGAAGATATCAGCCAGCCACCAGGACTATAGCAGCCACTCCAACTCACCAGCCACACTCCAGCACTCAACTGCAACTCCAGTTCTCTATAGCACCACACAAGACAGTCCAGTGGTGAACTATTTACAGCTTTATTCACAATATCTACAATCCTCGGACAAAATGCTCCGCCAGACACCGTCATTTAGAGAAGAAGATACAGAGGCAGCACTTGTCCACATATATACATGCTGTCAACCAATCAGCTAATAGCTGAGTCATTGTCACTGACCTCACACCATAATCTAGTCCAAACCGGTCAGGACAGGTTTCCAGCAGTCTCCCTGCTGACAGTTAGATCACTATGATCTGACAGCTGATATTAACATTACAACAGAGGGGTGGGGATGCAGAGATCTACCAAGTCCTTGAACGTTTCTTTGTGTTGTGTCCTGTGCATTTCATTTCTGAGTTTACATTTAGTTGGCTTAATTTTTTGGCTTTTGTTATGCAACAATCAGCAATCCAAATGCCCTCCTGTTTGCTTATACCTTCCCCCTACTTGCAGTTTGTCACCAGTCTACATTTTAGGTGCTATCAGTCTTCAGCTACTAAAAGGCAGATTTTTTAAAAGAAAAGAAAAGAAAAGGGACTTACAAGCACAGGTTTTTAAATGAAATATTTCTTCTTCCCTCTACTTGAATTCCAGCACAGTGGTCTTAAAGCACTAGTGCAGTTTGCAGCTGCTCAGAGAACTACGTTACCACAAATCCTGATCCAGCAGCATCTTGTACGTCTGCTAGGAGGTAATGTTCAACTTTTTAAAAACTTACCGTGAGGATACATCTTGCAGACTGGCCCTTGGAATTAGCATCCACTGGCAGAATTGCACTATAAAGAGGAAAAACACAAGTGTATTTATCCTTGTCTGGTGAACATGATGGGGGAGAGGAGAGAGAGAAATAATTGACAAGAAATAGAAGAAATTTCCTTTTCGTTCTGTCATACTTTTACTGAAGTAAGGCAGCTGCAATGTTTGTAAACTATATGTTTTGCTCTTGTAGTTGTTCTGCCTGGTTTAAAAGTAGAAGATACTCCATCCATTCTTGATATAGATTTGTTTCATGTTTTGGTAAGTAATTGGGCTTCATTTGACACTGATCTTTTTAAGTTCTGAGATTTATTGTGCACAGATGCTAATCCTGTGGTCTGTCTAATTTTTAGACATGTCTGCAAAAGCTTCTCTTGATAGTCATTGTAAGAAGGATGCTGAGACTGCTTTTAGTTAATGTTGGTCCTGACTTTGGCTTTTTCCTTAAAACTAAACTCTTCTAAATTAATTAAAATAAAAATAATTTACTAGTTTGTTGTAGGAACTTAGCCCTGTATTTTTTAGGCATTTAAAAATATGTTGTATTGTAAAAACCAACAGTAGTCCAGAGACACCTTAAAGACTAACAAAATAGTATTCCGGTATAAGCTTTTGTGGGCTAGAGCCCGTTTTTGTCAGATTGCACCTGGAGAAATAAGCTCTAGTCCATTAAAGCTTGTGCTCAAAGTTTTGTTAAATCTTCAAGGTGTAACTAGACTCCTGCTTGATTCAGGTGGGTAGCCATGTTGGTCTGAAGCAGCAGAACAAAGTTTGACTCCAATGGCACCTTTAAGACCAACAAAGTTTTATCCAAGGTATAAGCTTTTATTCAAGGTATAAGCTTTCAAATACAAAGAAATGAAAGTTAACAGTCCATACATATAGGCGCGCAGTAAATTAGCATACAACATAATTAAGATGTTTAACAGATTCAAGGACCAAACAGGAATAACAAGCTTAGTTTATATGGTTACCATTTGTTTGGGTTTCATTCCAGGGAGAAACATAGTGAAGGAAATAAATATTTCAGAATTGGAGATTGATTGTAATGTAATGAATAGTAGAATGTAATATAATTTTAGAATTATAGATTGGAATTTATTTCTCTGGTCTGGGGACAGGGGAGATACTCTATACAGTCAGTTGCCCCACTTCAAAGAAGATGCTGTAATGTCACCTCCATGCTTGAGAAGAGACAGATGAAGCATAATGGCAGGGTCTCAGTTAATTACTCTCAGCATTCCACAATTAAGGATACACCTGCCCATCAATCTCCAATTCTAACATTTATTTCCTTCACTATATTTCCCCCCAAAATTAAACCCATACAAATGGTAACTATATAAACTAAACTTGTTACTCCTGTTTGGTCCTTGAATCTGTTAAACATCTTAGTTATGTGTATGCTAATTTACTGCTCACCTATATGTATGGACTGTTAATGTCCATTTCTTTGTATCTGAAGACGTGTGTATGCACACAAAAGCTTATACCTTGAATAAAACTTTTTTGGTCTTAAAGGTGCCACTGGACTCAAACTTTGTTAGACTCCTGTTTGTTGTTGCTGGAACAGATCGACACAATTACCTGTCTGGAATTATGTCGTTGTGAAACACAGTAATATCTAGCATTCGTGCAGAACTTCTGAGTATGTTAGCCAGTATTATTGCCCTAATATTGCAGATGTGGAACTGAGGCTAAGAGAGGGTGGGCTGCCATACAGTGAGTTTCTGATGACCCCAGATTGTGGCTGGAGAGCATGTGAAATAGCAACCTTGTCAAAGTGAAGCAGGCCTGGGCCTAGCTAATTCATGAATGGAATATCACTTGAGATTACTGTGTATGTGGCCTTGAGTTCTGTGAAAGAAGAAATGCAGGATAGCAATATAGTAAATAATGGCTGACAGGAGATTCAGATCTTTTACTGATTCATAGCTCACTGTCTTAACCACTAGTTCTTAAAGTACTTTTTCATTGCTTTCTATATGCTGATGTTATTTGTGTCCCCTTTGCTCTGTTAGGTTGGTGCTATATTATCATTTCCATCTTTGTATTGGGAGGATACTGTAGACCTACAGCCTTCATCTATTAGCTCTGCCTGTAATCATCTCTACCTCTTCCATTTGGTTACCATGGCACACATTACACAGATTATTCTCACATCCACAATAGGTAAGGTTACCTTTTAGATATGGCTTTTTTTTCTAGATAACGGTGTAAAATCATTTTTACTTCTTTTTTTTTTGAGCAGGAGGCTAGGGTACCTCCCAAATGTTTAAAATCATTTCCTGTGGGCAAGCTAGAAGAAGGAAAATGGAGACAAGTGAGGCAGCAAGGAATAGTGGTGGGGAAGAAGAAAGTCAAAGCATTCCCCTCTTGATTCCTCAGTATCGTAACATTATGTCTGAGAATACTTTTATATTGTTTTTATTTTCTTAAAAGGTTTTTAAAATTTCACATTAGTAAACTGTGTTTACTCCACATGAACAAAAGATATGCTTAGTGGCCTGCATAATACAAATGACCATATGGAACTGAATACAGTAAAACTAGTCATTAAGATTGCAAAACAAGAAAACGGTAGCAGAATAGCATCAGCTAAAAAGAAAACTGTTTAAACAAGAATCAACCAAAAGTATGAATAAATAAAAAGATCCCCAAATCTAACTCACAGAGGTGCCACATTTGATAAGTTGTCCATACATATAACTGTATGCAAGCCAGCCATTGCTAAAAATATTGGGTTGGCTTTTATTAAGCTTTTCCACTAATGGTGGCACTTGTGTCTGCTGCAACAGGCTCTTCCTATGATACAAGCAAGAAGAAAATTCTGCTATTGTTGGGAAAGTTTCATAGGATTCAGTCTTTGCTGTCTAGCACCATATTTTACTTTAAGAGAAAGTATAGTAGCTTATCATATTCTAATAGCAAAATCAGGAAATCTTTGGATAGTTAAATCTAGTGACTAGAACTGTGAATGGGCAAGGCAGATCTTTCTACAAACTGGAAAAGGGCCCCAGGTTTGCAGAAAAATGTGAAATCTTTTTTTAAAAATACATTGGGTGGCTTAAAAAACCAAAAAAATGATAAAAGGAGTGCCTGTAGCTTTAAGTAACAGATTCCCTCAGTGGCTGTTGCTAGGTAACCACAGTATTCCAAGCTTGGTTCTGTCAGTGAAAGGCAGGGGGAAGGACAAGACCCTTTCCGGATCTATTTTGGCCTTTGAAGACGGACTCCTTGGGACCAGGCCTGACTAGGATTGCCAGCTCCAGTTTGGGAAATTCCTAGAGATTTTTTGGAACATCTGAGAAGGGCAGAGTTTGGGAAGGGGAGAGGTCTCAGCTGGATATAATGCCAGCAGTACACCATCCAAAATAGGCATTTTCTCCAGAGGGACAGATCTGCGTCATCTGGAGTTTAGTTGTAATTCTGGATTTCTGGGAGTTCTCCAAGTCCCACCTAGACGTTGGCAACCCTAGGCCTGGCAACAACCTCTGTGTGACTTGATACCACCTGACTTGCAGGACTCAACTAGGCCTGTTGCTAGCTGCTGTTGAGCAGCAGCCACTCTATGAAAGACAGTGTGGTGTAGCAATTAGAGCTTCAGAGCAGGGTCTGGGAAACCCAGGTTCGAATCCCCATCTTTCTGTGTAAACTCAGTAGGCGATTTTGGACCAGTCACATTCTTTCAGTCTCATCTGGGATGTTGTGTAGATAAAAAGGAGGAGAGGAGAATAACATGAGCCGCTTTGATTCCCACTGTGGAGAAAGGTAGGGTGTAAATGAAGTAAATAATAAATATAGCTGAAGACTGGAGGCAGTAAAAGGTAGGTTGGTGAATGACTGAGAAGGCAAAAATGAGGCAGGGAAAGGGGAGAGTATATGGGGGTTTCCAGGGGAGATGATTCAGGGGAAAGTGAGGTGCTACACCACAAGTTCTCTACCATGATGCAAGTGAGCCTGGCCCATTGGCTGGCACCATACAGCTGGGTAACAGTTTTCCTTGGTAGAGGCTGCTGGGGGAAGCAGATGGAAATCTTAAGACAGATGGGCAGATAAAGGTAGGTTGGCTGTTGGGTGGGAAGGAGATAGGGTTGCCAACTCCAGGTTAGGAAATTCCTAGAGATTGAGGGATGGAGCCTGGGGAGAGTGGGGTTTGAAGAAGGGAGGGACTTCAGAGAGGTATAATGCCATAGACCCTATCCTCCAAAGCAGCCAATTCCTCCAAAGGAACTAGGGTTGCCAATCTCCAGGTGAGGGCTCGAGATCACCTGTAATTACAACTGCTGTCCAGATGACAGAGATAAGTTCCCTTGGATAAAATGGCTGCTTTGGAGGGTGGACTCTGGCATTATACCCTGCTGAGGTCGTTTCCATTCCCAAGCCTTGGCCTTCCAGATTTTACCACCAAATATTCAGGAATTTCCCAACCTGGAGCTGGCAGCCCTAAGGGGAACTGATCTCTGTAACTGGAAGATCTGTTGTAATTCCATGAGATTTCCAGGCTCCATCTGGAGGCTGGTAACCCTTGAAGGAAGGAAGGAAGCAGAGAAGGGGGAGAATCTATGGGGGCTTTCTGTCAGGAATGGGAAAGAGGAAATAGTAGGGGAGCGGGAAATGAGATGTTTCCCAGGTTCCCACGTAATATTATGGCCATCTAAGACACTATCTGCTATGGATACTGAGAACATCTGGCCTAAATTGGCAAGTCAGCTGTTGCTTGACTCTATAATGTGCTTCAGGAGGACATAGAGTTTCCAATATTAGATATTAAGGGGGCTGCATAAACTTCATGTCTGTTTTGGTTCTTGTGCATGTTAAACAGGTATTTCTTTTACAGTAGTGGTGAAACAGTCCTGCTCTGGCCTGCAGGTCCTGTTCCACCCTGTCCTCCTCGGTTTTCCCAACACCTGGAGGGACTTTTCTTTCTCTCTTTTCAATCACTACCACCACCTGAACTTTGTAGGAATTGCCCAGTAGGAGGGTCAGGACTGCCAACTTCCCTTCAAAATTCTGAGGCCTTGCCTCTGTGTCTTCCACTACCTAGCAACTGGGTTACCACAGAGATAACTTGCTGCCTTGTGCACCGCTAGAGAAGTTGCCACTTGCCAACTGACTGCTCTCCCCTTCCTCCTGGCACTCATTTTAAAATAGTGTTTCCAAGATAGTGGAGGTCTGTGTGGCACAGAGAACCACTATCAGGGTCAAAGGTTATAAGATAAAAGTAAGGTAAAGGTTTCCCTTGTTTGAAAGCCGCCGCTAGGGATGCGGTGCTCATCTCTATTTCCAAGCCAAAGAGCCAACGCTGTCCAAAGATGTTTCCGTGGTTATGTGGCTGGCATGACTAGACGCCGAGGCGCACGGAACGCTGCTACCTTCCCATTGAAGTGGTACCTATTTTTCTACTTGTAATTTCTTGCTTTCAAACTGCTAGGTTGGCAGGAGCTTGGACCAGAGACAGGAGCTCACTCCGTCATGCGGCAGTGGCACTCAGGTCTTGAACTGCTGACCTTCCTGTCTACAGTTCAGTGTCTTAACCACTTGAGCCACCGCTCAAGCATTTATTAAATAGAAAATGTTCACAGCACAGCTTGAGCAAGGGTTTCAAAAGAAAAGGGTAAAGCGCAGTTCCTCCGTCCCTCTCTCTATACATGCCCTGTCAGATGTTAAATATCTTACATCTCCCTTGGTTCTGCAGGGCACGCAAGGCTGTTCTTTTTCAGGTGGCCTTTGGGTGATTGTGATCCACCAGTCAGCTTGTATACTTCAACTGTGTCTTTACCATCCATGCATCCTACCCTGCTTGATGGTGGATAGATTTTAATGGAGATAGATTTTTAACCATTTTATATCTTAAAGATTATTTATTGTGTTTTTTATTGGTGTATTTTAAATACTGTTAGCCACCCTGAGTCGTGTTCAGGGGAGAGGGAGCAGGATATAAATTTGATAAATAAATAAATATAAGGCAGGCTTCTTAGCTTAGAAAGTTACAAATCTTTACAGGAGTACCATTACCTTCAAGCCTCCTTCCAGTGTGCAAGCCAGCACATGGCAATGGCCACCTCCTCCAGACCTCAGTTAAGAGTTCAGTCTCCTTCGCTGGAATCTTTTGGGACTTGAAGGAACATGAGATGGATGAGACAAATTATATTCTATCCCTGTGTTCCTGTCTTCAACTTAGATGTGGTGTGAATGTGTTATTTCTTAAGAATAGAATAGGGAAAAGTGAAGTATAGGACATGAAAAATTGTAAACGTTGTTTTTTGGTGCTTTTTTATGTCTAGCCATTTCTTGCACAGAATATCCCTCTACTCAGGCACAGGAAGACTGTGAAGAGGCACATGCTGCAGATTCTTTTAGTAAAGAAATTTGCAGATACACAAATGGGTAAGTAGCATCTTTGCAGCATGTCTTGATAGACGAGTATATTCAGTTGTTCTTTCTCGGTTTACAGAAAAGTAGAGAACCCCTGCCAGTTAGTTGTCAATACCAACTTTGATAGACCACTGGTCTGACTCAGTATAAGGCTATTTTATTTGTGTTAAGGCAAAGCTAGACCTTAAAATCTAGTGCAACTAGGTCGCAGTCCTCTGCACACATAAAGTTCCAGTAGTGGTTTCTACCCTTATTTTTTCTTCATTAAGTTCTCAGATGCATATGAGTCACACCATGCCCGTACAATGTGTGAATCTGTCAGCAAGAACCACTTCATAGTGACTGCCATCATCAAGATTTTTGGCAGCTTTCATATAAAATATCACTTGTGGATATGTTTCCGAACTAAGATGGAGGCACAGAATAGTCTTTGTATCATATTTTCAAACGTCATTGAGAGTTCCAGCAAAGTATCAAATACATGTGTTTGTTCTGTGTTGCAGTTGGTATAGACCGACTGTTCCAGGCTGGTATTTGTGGGATTGTATAAAGAAGGGAATCTCATCCTACTTGCGTAGTGCTGCTCTGTTCTTCCATTATTTGCTGGGAGTGCCACCACCTGAGGAGCTTTTGTTGGGTAAGTAGTGGAGTATAGTGATTGCCCCCCTCCCCCAAGACCAAATTAAGATTAAAGTGGAAGTCTGCTGGAAAAACAAAAGTTGGTTGCAAAATGGTTACCAACAAGTTCTGTTCCTGAATCCCCAGTTTCATGGATAGATATTTAACTGTGTCATCATTAATTGCATTTTTTCATTTGAGTAATAAGACCGTAGTGCAATATTAGTTCTAACTACTTCCTTTTTTGTTGTTGAATTACTAAAGTGACTAAACTACAAAAGAAGCATATTTAAAAGATAACTTCAGCGCCCTTGACAGTAATACAAACTGACCTGGGCCTCTTTCCTCTGTGCTGCTGACAGGCTTTCTTCCCACACTTTCAATCTCAACTGCTCTTCCTAAACAAAAGCCACCTCCTGCGCTAAGAACTTTCAGACCTACAAATACGATTTACCTAAATACCTCCCCTCACCCGACACACGTTTTCCCCTTGCATATTGCCACAGATGAGTCAGCTCTTGTTTTTAGTATGCAAAGAGGCGTTTAACTGGGATGTTCAGAATAACAGTCACTTTGACTTTCACAGTAAATAAACTGGCAGACTTCAATATTGACATCCCTATATATCACCTTCCACAAGACAAGTTTGTTTGGAATCTTCAGGATTTCTCTCTCAAAATGGGAATCGGGGGTCACTGTAACTTGGCCATTGCCTCTCTTCTTTCTCAAGCTTCTTACCATTATCTCCAGGATGCACTTTTTATTTCTAACTGCAGAGGGCTTGATTTTTTAATTAAAATATCTTTTAAATTTCTTCAGTCATCTGTGTGTTCAGTTTATTCTTTTCCTTTGCAGTTTCTGAGGAAAGTCATTTCAAGGCACTTTGTGGTTATTTGTCTCTACCCTCCAATCTGTTTCTGCTTTTCCAAGAACACTGGAATGTAGTAGAGCCCCTGCTCCAGAGGTATGAGTTGTTACTGTTCAGAGAATGGGTTGTGGGTTTTTTTGGGTTTATTCTCATAGCATAAGATTGTCCAAGCAAAAATCACTTTAGAAGACTTGTACAAGTGAGCCAAGGATTGGCCATACCTGTAGCCATAATTTTTTATGATGTCTTGGCCTTAGATGTGTACAGGGTAGACAGGTGTGAGTCATTGAGCAGCCAGAATCTAAATATAGATTAAAATGTTTAAAATTATTTGATTGTTTTAAATATAAAATAAAATGTAATTAATAGAATGTAGTGCTTTTCAGTTCTCCCCCAGTGCCTTTGCATCCACTGAACAGAACACTGGCAGTAGGGAACAGATTTAGTTTACCATTGCTAGTACTAGAGGCTGGTGTTTTTAAATGGGGGGGGGGATTCAGGGAGGAGTCTGTAATATCCCCGAGAGAGCTAGGTCCTTCTAATGTAGCTCTGGGGAAGACAAACCTCTTGGGTCAAATCTGAAAGATGATTTGAGGGGAGGGGTGGAAATCCTTCCCAAGATCTTATTGAGATAGTGAGATCTTCCTGAGATAGTGAACCAAAAGTGAGGAACATAACTAGACAAGGAGAAAACATTTTTATAAGAGCAAGCAGCCATGGAAGAATTACAGAAATGTCTCACCTTCATGAGGCACATTCAACATGAAATAACTTGAGCATAGGGGCTACAGCACTGTGGTGTTGCTACAACTAACCTGCTGTAGCCAGGTCATGTCTTGATTGAGCAGAGAAGTTGCAGAGGGAGCAGTTGTCCATTCTAGGAAGAATCTCTAGCAGCATCTCAGCTAGAGCACTTCCCAGCTCAGACTGTCCTACCCCCATGGTGGCTTTGAGAGTTGGAGGACTGTACATGTGAGCTTGCTTCCCATGCTTGGTTATGGATGCCATCAGACAAGTTTGTTTTGGATTCAGTGTGTGTTCATACATTGCCAGATAAATTTCTGTGCACACATTTTGCTACCCATGTTCTCTGGCTGCATGAAGGTAGTATGCATATATATAAGGATCCCTACAACCTCTACAGGCCCACTGCTGTCCTATTATCTCTCTTCCTATTTTGTCCCCCAGCACACACAAATGCTGGTTCCTTACTTTATAGGGAATAATTGTAACTGTCAATTAGGAGAAACTTGCCACTTGAAATAAAAGCAATTAACCAGTAATAGCTCTACAACATACTACTTCCCTGATAAAGAATTTTTCTCGCAGGTGGTGTGCAGACCCTGCTGTACTAAGCTTTCTAAAGGGGGAACGTACTACAGTAAGGTTAGTTTCTTGTTATTCTATAGCCGCATTTGTCTTGGTTGACAGGTTCTGAATATCCAGTTCTAGAGTACAGTTTATCCTGTTCAACAATATTTTAAGTGAAGTGACAGCACTCTCTTTCTAATGATAAAATGTCAAAATGTTGTTCATTTTACCATCCCTTTTGCTGCATCATGTTCTTTTTTTGTTAGCACCATACCAGGGCAATAGTCCAATTTGCCAGTGTTCAGCTGGTTGGAATTCTGAGCCATCCCCTATGTGCTTCCGTTTGCATTGACACTGAGGGGGTCGTGACTAGTACAGATAGGAAATAACAGATGTCTCAAAATACCCATGAATCACCACAAGTCAAGCAAAATCTATGTGTATTTCCCCCCCTGCATTTCAGACCTGGGTAATCTATTCCTAACCAGCAGTGTTTAAAAGCTGACCACCTGCTAGTTGAGATATGACAAATACCCCAATTGTATACCTGTTATCAAAACAGTTTGCTTTTTAGTGTACAAGGATTTTTATTTTTTTTTTGAGAACCAACCACATACAGGCCTTACAGTGAACAGGAAACTAGTTACATGATTTTCTGGACTGTGGTCATCATCTATAAACATATGTCACTAGGTTACATTAATTTTTTTCAGTTGATTTTATAAGTATAATTATTAATCTGATGTACAGGTCCCACTTGCAGACTCTAGGCTTCATTCAGATGCAATGAGCAAAGCATGGTTTGTTATGAGAACAAGCCTCTGAAGTCCTTGGGCTTACCTGCTTCCTGTTTCCCTTGTGGATGTAATTCAGATATTGATGAAACCCCACTTCCAAGGAACCCCCGTTTGCTATGACATCTGAATTGGGTGAAGCAACAAACTAGCTTGTTCTTTTGCTTGCAAACCAGGATTCCAAATCATGGTTTAATTCTCAGACACCATAACAAATCAGTTTCTTAGGATGCGGGCTGAGGTTTTCAGAAGCTGGTAATTAACAATACATAGATTGTTTGTTACATCTAAATTGAATCCTTCTTATAAGAATCATAGGTGTCTTGTCTTTGACTCTCCTACTGCCTCAAAAATATTTTTTGTCTGGTGCAAGATAATGATACGAAGTTGAACAGAACAGTAATGCCATTTTTGTTGTTTTGGTGTATAACTGTATCCTGGACTACAATATTTCTTTGTGCATGAGCTAGATATCCAAGGAAAAGAAATAAATTAGTTGAGCTCCCAGAAGACTACAGCTGCCTTTTGAATCAAGGCTCCCAGTTCAGGTGAGAACCAGAATTCTTTTTTAAACATCTTTATGTTTGCCATAATAGATATAAGGTATAATTGTACAAAAGGAAATATATATATAAATATGGTACTATGTTACCAGTTATGCAAGAAATAGTACTACAAAAATATATTAGTTTGACCTTCCAAGTTCAGGTTTTCCATCTAGCTTAAACTCTGTTTTATATGGAAACATTTTATGCTGGTTCTCCAGAGATCTCCTTAAGCTGGTTCACAAAATCATAACAGCATAAGAATTATCAATAATAAGCCATAACAATTAAACAGGGGCATAAAGACAGCATAAAGCATTCAGCCTGAAGGGATATTTTGAAACAGTCCTCATACTAGAAGTGGACAATTAACAAGGTGAAACATGATTTAAAAGCCTGGCTAAAAAGAAATGTTCTGGCCTGGTGCCTAATAGATAATAAAAAGTGGGGACCCACACTACTCATGAAGGGGGATTCCTCTCCCCATCTCTGACAGTTTCCCTTAAGACTTGCGGTAGGCAGGAGACTCACAGAAGAGAATCCCATGTCCCCCCCCCCCACAGCAGTTCCAGGCTCCATCACCCACTTTTAGATAGAGGCAACTGTGCTTGGGAGCTGGTCTGAGCCCAGAGCAGCTCCCAGTATGTTCTGCTGCCATGTCCAGGCCTGGAGCCTTTCCCAGAGTGCTCCACTATGGTGCCTGGGCCTGGGGCAGCTCATGGAGTGTTCCACTGTTACGTGGCAGCCAGGCCTGGAGTGGTTCTCTGAGTGTTCTGCCACGGTGACCAGGCTCAGAGCTTCTCCTGGCATCTGCTGCCACAGCGGCTGAGCAAGGAGCCACTTCCAGCATTCACCATTGCCAGGCAAGGAGCTGGTCCCAGCATTTGCTGTGGTGGCCAGCCTGAAATGGTTCCCTGTGCCCCTGCCAGCTGAACCAGTACTTTTGGGGGGAGGTTTAACCCCCCCCCCCCGTGGTTTGTTTGTTTTTTAAATTTCAGATTTTTCTGCAAACCTGGTGAGTGCCTCAAGTTTGAAGAAAGATCTGTTTAGTGTGGAACAACCATGCAGAGAAAGGGAGAAACTGATAGAATGGAAGAGGTGATTGGTATGTTCTGTTTAGTGTCCATGTGGCTCTGATCCACGGATTTAGCTGTTCGCAGATGAGCGCCATGGAAGCAAGGTGTCACTACTGAAAAAGCCCTATCTTTGTCTACCACCAACCTAATGTCTGCAGGTGGGAGCACAAAGAGGAGAGCTTCAAAAGATGATCTGGACTGGTGGGCTGGGCAGCAGGGAAGAAGCAGGTCTTCGTGTATACCAACCCAAGGTATTCAGTACCTTAAAAGTAAGAACCTGCACTTTGAGTTATACCCAAAAATAGATAGGCAGCCAGTGCAGATGTTTCAACAGAGCAATGGTACAGTCCCTGTATCCAACTCCTGATAATAGTCTGACCGCTGTATTGTAGACCATGTTTCTGGATAATTGTAAAAAAAAAAATTCAAGGAAAATCCTGAGCTTGAAAGGTCAATATATGAAAGAATAGTGTGGGACGCTGGACAGAACTAGACAGTTGTTAGGGGATAAAGAAGGATTACTTGACAACTCACCTGATTAACTCTCCTGGAGAGAGTTGACAAAGAGAAATTTTTCTCTGTCTTCCAAAATACTAGAACTCGAGTTCATCCAATAAAACTGATGAGCAGTAGATTCAGGACGGACAAAAGAAAATACTACTTTACACAGAGAGTGATTAAAATGTGGAATTCACTGCTGGAGGATGTAGTGATGGCCACAGGAATAAACAGCTTTAAAAGGGGATTAGTAGATTGATGGAGGATAAGTTTATCCATGGCTACTAGCCATGGTGATTGAAGGGAACCTCCACATTCAGAGGCACTAATCGTCTGAATCCCAGAGCCAGGAGGCAACATCAGGAGAAGGCCTTGGCCTCTATGCTCTGTTGTTGGCTGTTCAGATGAACTGGTTTCTCTGGTCTGATCCAGCAGGGCTCAGCTGATATTCTTCAATCAGCATATTTTCAAGCAGTGGTAAAAATCAAATATACACATGCCTGGCTTCAAGCAGTCAAAAATGTACAAAGGCCTGAAAGAAAAACAAACTTTTGAAGTGCCACAACAGGAGAAGCGAACACTTTGTGGTTGTTTATCTCGCTTTAGAAGGTCAAGAATTTTTATGCGCATCTTCCAGATTTGAAATTGTCACAATAGAAAGACAACTGGGACCAGACCAGTAGAAAAGTATACAGCTGCATCTTTCTATTGGCGTTTTATTGCTTTTACGTTGATGCATGCTTTATACTAGCCAGTGTGCTGCTCTTATGCATCTTTCATGCTGTTCCTGGTTGCACAGTTGCCTTTGATGCATGCTTTATACTATGTTTTGCCAGTGTGCTGCTCTTATGCATATTTCATGCTGTTCCTGGTTGCACAGTTGCACAGTGTGCTTTTATTGTAGTCCATAATTCGTTTAACTAGAAACCACCTCAGGCAATTTTTTTGTAAAGTGTAATATCTAAATGCATGAAATAAGCAAAGAATATCTTTATGATAAAAGTTGGCTAGTATTTGGTAAACTTCAGTAAAGCCACAGGTATAGACTGGGGGGGGGGGACTTCGGCCCGATTCGGATTTGGCCAAATCGGGCAGAATCAATTTCCGCTGGCAGAAAGACTCCCACAAGTCAATTTCAGCAGTAGGAGCCGACTGGGGAGTCTTTTGGCCAGCCGAATGTCAATTTTGGACCCCTTATATCCTATGGGCTATGGAAGTCAATGGCAAAAACATAGGGTATATTCTGGGGACTGAAGGAGAGGGGGTTTGAGGGAGAGGCTCCAAACTCGCAGGGTAGCTGCTGGAGCCTCTCCCCAAGATACCCACCAAGGTTCAAGAACATTGAACCAGGGGGCCTAATTCTACGAGCCCCCAAACAGGTTGCCCCATCCCCACCATTCTCTATGGTGGGGAAAAAGTTACTTTTTTCACTTTAATCTTTAGTTGACTTTATTTTTCCAGGTGCCCTCAGTCTTCAGATGATGAGCCCAAGTACCCAGTGATGTGTTTGTTCTGTGGAGCTATGTTGTGTTCTCTAACCTCCTGCTGTCAGGAGATGGTGAATGGCGAAGAGTTTGGACCCTGCACGTTCCATTCTGCTGATTGTGGAGCTGGCGTAGGCATCTTTCTGAAGTAGGTGGCTGAGTAGAATGTAAAGCTCAGGTGCCAAAGGAAACCCATTTCACAAAGGAATGTGTGCTTTTTGAGGTGGGGGTGCAACAAATGATACCAGTTTTTTCTCCTTAAAGGGCTACATTTTATTTTATTTTTAAATCCAAATCCCCACAAAATGCAAAACAGCAGAGCTGGTGCTGTTTATGGAATTGCATTCTTCTTGCAGTAATACATTACAATTAGAGGTAGTGGGATATCTTTCTAGAGGGAAGACCTCATCATCCTTTGCTGTCTTCTTCCGGTCAATAAATATATAAAGCGGCAGACTTTGACTGGGTTCAGAAGCCCAGCCTGCTGATGTGGGGCCAAGCATAGAATGCAAGCCAGCTAGTGGGGGCCACTTTTAGTAAGCAGAACTGGTACCGCGGGATGAACCAAATGCCAGTTTAAGGCACCTGATGTTCTGCAGCTTTATCTGGTGAATGATTAGTGGTCTTGGGGCTTGAAATAGTCTCAAACTTCGAATCATACAGAAAATGTGCATATATTGCTTTAAAGGAATTCAATCCTGAATGTGTTTTTTTCACAAGTACAGTTTTGTTCAAAAGACTGATTTCATAGTATCCAAGGGTTGCTTCCTTGGTTTGATCAGCAAAGTATATTTTCTTAAAAATTGAATACTAGAATATTTGCAGACCAGGGCTCTGTTTTGTTTTTGTTTTGTTTTTAATTCAGCTTTCTTTCTGATTTAGAATTAAGGACTGCAGGCTCATGCTAATGGCAGGAAAAAACAGAGGCTGTTTCTATTCTGCACCGTACCTAGATGAATATGGAGAAACAGACCCAAATCTGTCGTAAGTGGATGTTTTGCTTTATAAAATGTATTTATACCCAGTTTTTCTGTCTAATGGAGTCCCAAAATAGCTTCAGTGTCGGTATCCTCTCCTCTATTTTTATCCTTGTAATACCTCTGTAAGTTAGTTTAGGGCGAGAGGGAGAAGGCCCAAGATCACCCAGCAAATCTTCCATGGCAGCATGGGAATTTGAACCTTGGTCTCCCAGATGCTTGTCTGACACTCTGCCCTCACCACACTAATGCTTTATCTCCCATGTCTTTCTGTTTTTGTACTGCTATTTTATAATGCTGGACAAATCTACTAAATACCCTTCTTTGTGGATTTCAAACTACTGTTTGGATTCCTTTCCAATAGAAAGGAGCATTTGCCACCTCAATGCCAGTAACTTGATATCTGCCTTCCATACAGGAGGAGGCTTTTGTTGCCAGTAAAGGTTCTGTGATGAGGCCGGTAACTGGCCATACTGTCATTTATTTATATAAAACTTCTCGAAGTTAACTCTTAGTAGAACTGGCTTGGTACATGACTTTCTCCAGTAAAAGTTAACATATATCAAAACTGGAAAGAACATACCATGGTTTCTCACCTCCAGTGTATTCTTTTTCTTTTGAAGAAGAGGCAATCCTTTGCAATTGTGTCAAGAACGGTACCGGAAACTCCACTTGCTGTGGCAGCAACACTGCATCATAGAGGAAATTGCTCGAAACCAGGAAACAAATCAGATCTTCTTTGGATTCAACTGGCAGCTGATCTGAGTAGCGGTTCCTTCTAGATGGGATTACTAAGGCCGAGTCTCTTGACCAATCATACAAGAAATAATAAGATGTTTGCTTTATGGAGAAAAGCCCAGCCCAGGCTGATGTATTAAAATTAATCAATTCTAAGCAAGTTTAACCTGGTGTGAAAAACACACAGGCCCATATGATTTCTGAACAGCTAAAACTACAAATGACTGGGTTCAGTAGACATGGAATGGCCAGTAGACAGTTTGCTGAAGCTACTTTTCCTCCTGATTCTGTACTTTGCATCATTTCAGTATCCCAAGCCACCTTTTGCCATTCTTAGATGTGATCTTAATCCCAATAAAGGATCAGTAAGCTTTCCCTCTGAGTATAAGGAGTTCAAAAAATGACATGTGAGCCTTTAAATGGCCTCAGTGCATCTGAATGTAAGAGCAGTGTACTTGGACTCACTTAATGTCTCCTTTCTCAGTATCTGGTTTCTTCCTTCAATTTAGTAGTATTTGAAAGCCTGTGATTACTCTTTGTGGGAGAAATATTTTCAGACATCTTGTAAACTATAACTGTAGTCTAAGTATTAAGTAGTACAATGGGAAGTGCACTGCATTGGATGCCCTGTGAAATTTAATTTGGAAAAGTTAAATGTGAGTGTCAGTTCACTCTTTAAATCAATGGAAAAGTAAAGAACTTTTTCAGTTGGTCTTGAATCAGAAATTCAATGCTTTGTTTTGTGTATAAATGTAGTCCCACTAATATTTTATGCCTCTGTAATCACAGTAGTCCAAGAATTTTGCTACCTGCTAACTTTGTCTGGCTGTGGTAGTCAGTGTTATCGACAGTAATGTAGATCTTGGTTACCCGGTGGACCACCACGTCCCACAGAATGCAATGAAACATGCCACTTAAATATGCACCTCCTTACCTGTCAGCATACAATCTAGGGGACAATGGATATTGGAATAAATAAATAAAAGCTGGACATTATTGTAGTATGTTTACAAAGGTGTTTTCCCTGACTTTTATGTTCTGGTTCTATGGGGACTGCACATTGCCTGGTGGCCATATGCTGGGTCCACAAACTGTTTACATTTGCTGAAGATATAACTGTTTTCTCTTTTTAGAACAGAGGTGTTGAAATGCTTCAGAGCCACTTTCCGCCCTATATATTACAGCTATCATTCTGTTGGAGCAAGGTTGTGATAAGAGCTAAAATTGGTCATAAATATGCTGCTTATAACATTCACCTTTCAGGAAATTATTCTCTCTTAAAGGTTAAACTACTCTTCCCTGCCCCCCCCCTTTGTATATGGTTGAAATTTAAGATGAAAGATAAGATATATGAATTTGTATGAAGATAAATGATTTCTAATTTTAAAAAACACAAGAAAGACATTATGGTAGCAAAATCAGAAGGCACATGATTTCACACAGTACAATAATCCTGAGGAAGGGTTATCACTGTTTAGAAGCAAATGTAGGGAGACTGTGAATGTTAATTAAGGTTTCGGTGTTCAGATAATTCCTCTAAAACCTTTATTTATCCATTTAAGCTTCCCTTTGCAGTGCATTCAGGCTTCATAACCTGTTTTACCGTCAGAATATTGTCATGAAAAATTCTTAGTTCACCTTGGTTTCTGCCTGTTTTTCCAAGCAAACAAAAAACAAATAGGAAATCCCTCTGCTATTGATTTTTAAACAGAGGTGTAAATCTGATCTCTGCTCGCCCCCCCCCCCCGAAAAATATTGCCGTTGTGGCATATGTGAAGCGTTCCAGCAATACTGCACCCTAAAAAAAATGAAGCCAATGTTTGTTCTTCAGTAAGGGTATCTTAACCTGTTCAAGTTGTTCACCTTTTTTGTGCTTTTATATACATTCAGTCACAGTGTATGGCTGAACTTGTGCAGCTGCAGTAGATTTGACATATTCCCAGTTGCACTTATATGTTAATTCAGAAAGGTCATACACAACATCCTGCCTCTCTCTCTCTCTCTTTTTTTTTTTTGGTGTGGAAATTTCCAGTATATGAAATAGCTCTGTCCTAGAGAGCGGCAAGTGTGTCTTTATTAGAGTATCACTGTGCTAATTAAGAAGAAGGAAGTTCAATGCAGAGAAAAAGTGCTACTTTTACTATGGCATCCTTAACAGTCAAATCATGGATTGGTTCTTGAAAACAGTGGGCATGATCTGACTGCATAATTAACTCTCTTTCACTGAGATAGGACTCTTAACAGGCTTAACACTGGTTGGGTTGCACCCAGTAAGATTAGCATTGAGTTCACCTCTATCTGAATGCTGCAATTCACTGACACAGAGACAATGGCCCCAGTTCAACAGTGTGCAAGTGTAGCACTGAGGCTGAATGCATGTTGCCCCTTAAAGGAAACAGGAATCCCAACAGTGGCTGGGGGGCAGGGCTGAAACCAGCCCTCTCCTCCCAAACAAGTAATTCCCTTTAAGGGACACACACATACAGTTCTAGTTGCCAGGTCAGGCTGGGGAGTTAAACATGCAGCATGCAATTTCCTAGCCAGCTGAGGATTTGCTTCCATGCCCATACAACTCCCAGCTGGATTGTTGCACTGGTCAGGTTCTTGTTCAAATTATATTAGAATTCTTCCTCTTTTTGAGGAAAATGGAGGCAAAAGAAGCAAGCTGGCTTCACTTTTTATGTGTTTGGACTGTGCCAGCAAATATGCCTGAGGTTTCTGCACTGGACAAGGATGGATGGTCATTTTCCATTTCATTAATTACTATGCAGTTTGGTTCACTGTGAGTATAATCTGTATTCAGTAAATCCACAGTGGTAAAGCCACTAATCTGAATTATAAGGAAGAGGAACAGAGTTTATTTACATACATGCATATATTGATATTCTTTAATTGCAAAAATGTAAATTTGAACCTTGTATAATGTTCTGGTCCTTTTACAATCCTGTATATGTATATTTAAAAAGGAAATAAAGTAAGTTCTTGTAAATTGTGGTCTCTTCTTTTAAAAGAATTTCACACCTTGAATAGTGTGATAGATGGTATCACAGGAGGGAGGGAAAGCTAATAATTTTAGCCTCTGTCTTACAGTATATATTCGTTTTAGTTTTATGACTGAACTTTGACCCTTTCCTTCTTGTTTTCATTGTCTGTGTCCCAGATGCCTCTGTGTACACATATGCACCATACTTAACCTACCCACCTACCCCAAGGCTCTGACAAGGAGTTGCAGGAGGGGATTAATCACTAGAAGCTCTTTCCAAACTAAACCTTTCTCCTGACACCTCCCACCAACCCCCATATTTGATAAGCTTTTGCAGGACTTAGAAGCCCAACTTCCAGTCTCCCACTGATATTTTCTTCAATAGGTTCTCAATTGCTGTCCATGTTCTGAAAGTAATGATTTATTTACTGCATTTCTGCTCTATCTTTCTTACTGCAACTGAAGGGGAATTGCAGACATTAAACAGTGCAATAAAACTGGATGAGAAAACATGCAATAAAAACAGTATACTACAAACAATTCAGGAAAGCTTCCTAAGCTTTTTTTTCACAGACATTAAAACTGCAGTCCTGTACCCTTTATTAAAAATGTCCTTCTGAACAATTTCACTTTAGACATTCTGCAGAATGATAGAAGCAGTGGGTACTTTCCTGACTTCATCAGGCAGGCCCTTCTTCCAAGTAAAAGCCACAATCTGGAGAACCGGGTTTGAGTCCCCACATTAAGCCTGCTGGGTGACCTTGGGCCAGTCACAGACTCTCAGCATAACCTTCCTCACAGGGTTGTTGTGAGGCTAAAATGGAGGAGAAGAGAATGATATAAGCTACTCTTGGTCTCACTGGGGAGAAAGGCAGAGTATAAATGAAGTAAAATATCAAGCTACCCTCAACATTCTGTGCCAGGTTTCTTTCACTGTCTTGATAATGCCTGACCTAATTTGGCTGTTGTGTTATTCCTGGCCTGATTTCTTAACCACTTTTCAGTGCCACTCTAATTGGGGGAGTTCATGAATGAACCCTTCCAAGTGGTTTTAATTAGCTGTTCTCCCCTCCTCACATTTATATCAGGATTGCAAGTCAGATGTTACTCAACTCTGTTTTCCTATCTTCATGCAGTGCCCTGGATCAGCTATTTACTCCACATATATATATGCAAGAGCAGTTAACTTTTATGTTGCCTGCATGCTTCCCTTACTATTATATGCATTGTTTATAATTTGGTTTAGAAACATTGCTGTATAAGAAGGCACTACTTTCTGGAAGTTCCCATTGCTGTGCAGTCTTGATGAAGGGATCGATAACCCATTGAACAAGCCGGAGAGTGGGTTAACTGTAGCTCATCATTGTTTGTTTCAAGTCTTGAGGGCTGGATTTACAACTGCTGCTCATTTTTCATTGTTTGCCTTAAGTCTTCAGGACTGGATTTACTTGCTTTATGGACATTTAGAAATCATGTTTTCAGTCCTTTGGAATTGTGAAGTCTTTTCTGGGATTGTAGAGTTTTCTTCAAATCCCCCGTCTATCTATGTATCAATTGTGTTTTATGCATGTATTAAATAACGAACAGTATGTTTAACAGTAAGAAGCATGTTTAATAATGAACAATTTATGAATTTAAACCATTTGGAGCTTTATGTGATGTTGTCATATATGCTTCCCTTACTAGGACATAGTTCTCTCAGCATCTTTATCTAGTCTTACCCCCAGTTTGTGTAATATTGCTACGTTCAGCATCTTTTAGTTTCTAACACTTTTTCTAATATCTGAATCAATTTTATTATGATCCTAAATCAGCCAGCAATAATATAATCACTCAGCCACACATAAGAGGGGAAAAATATATATGTACAGTAAAATTCACATCCTCACTAACTTGTATAACAGGTACATAGTTGAAAAGATATAACCAGATGCTTTCTTATTAGCCATATCTAATGCTGAAGTAAGGAGCTGCGGTGGCTCATGGTTAAGATGGTGAACTGCAGGCTATGGAAGGTCGGTAGTTCAGCAGTTCGAGACCCGGGTGCCGCAAGACGGAGTGAGCTCCCGTCTCTAGTTCCAGCTCCTGCCAACCTAGCAGTTCGAAAGCAAGAAACTGCAAGTAGATAAATAGGTACCACTTCAGTGGGAAGGTCACAGTGTTCCGTGCGCCTTGGTGTTTAGTCATGCCGGCCACATGACCACAAAAACGTCTTCGGACAGCGCTGGCTCTTCGGCTTTGAAATGGAGATGAGCACCGCAACCCTAGAGTCGGACTCGACTGGCCTTCGAGCAAGGGAACCTTTACCTTTACCTTTAATGCTGAAGCATCACACCAGGCTTCAGGTCAAAAACAAGAGGGGAGGGAATACAAACAAGTTTTTTTTAAGCCAGTGAGGGGTTTAAAATCCTCCCAACTGCTGAAAAAATAAGATTTTTAGGATGCCATGCCATGAGATCTCAGCTGTCATTTGGGAGACGTTAGCCACTACTACTGTTGCCACTACTACTGTTGCTGCAGCCAAAGAAAGGGAAGTTGGGGGAAGGAAAGAGGAGGCGGCGGCAGTAAATACGGCTAAGAAGAGGCCAGGGTGGCTGGAGGACAAGAAGGGGGGAGGGAGCGTCCTCAGGACAGAGGGGAGAAAGGTGGCAGGAAGAAGAGGATGACAGAGAAGGGGGAGGAAGAATAAGAACCAGGAAAGGGAAGCGGGGGGGATTTCCTTTGAGTTTTTCACAGGATTCTGCTTGTATAATTTTATTGCCTGAGCTTAAGCACTCTTCAGTCACATGTTGAGGAGAAGAGACAGCATTTGGGCACCTTACATATTAACAGGTTTATTGTGACATAAGCTTGCATGGAATAAAGGGCATCATCAGATGCAGGAGGTAATTCCCCAGTTGGCCAACCCCATGCATATATGGCTAAGGAGAAAAAGGTATTAACTGCAATCATTCAGTCTTTAAGATGCCAGAAAACTCCCATTTACTGCAATATAGTGACACAGCTGCCTCTCTGGATTGTTGGAAGAAAGTTGCCGTAATGATTTTAAATAGCTTCCAAACTATGCTAGCCTTAGACTTATACCTAGTGTGGTTTGTGGCTGCTTTTCCTCCAAAGAGCTCAAGGCAGCATACATTGTTCTCCACTTCACCTTAAACTGAACTCTCCCATTTCAGCAAATTGTCTGACTTCATGTGACTTTCCTGCTTTCACTCTTCAGTTGTGACATAAGCTAAGGGGCCAAGTCTGTGTTGAAAGATTATAAATAAAGGTTGGTGCTTCTGTGGCTGGCTGATCATCAAATATATGCTTAGGCACAGGTGCAGTGCCTA